AGTTTCTTTTGAGAAATCAGCTGACAGCCTAATGGGAACTCCCTTGTAGGTAACTAGCTGCCTTTCTCTTGCTGCTTTTAAGATTCTCTCTTTGTCTTGAATCTTTTGCATTTTGATGATGATGTGTCTTGGTGTGTGCCTCTTGGGGTTCATCTTGTTTGGGACTCTCTGTGTTTCCTGGACTTGTATGTCTGTTTCCTTCACCAAGTTAGGAAAGTTTTCTGTCATTATTGTTTCAAACAGGTTTTCAATTTCTTGTTCTCTCTCTTCTCCTTCCGGCACCCCCAAGATGCGAATGTTGGCACGCTTGAAGTTGTCCCAGAGGCTCCTTACACTATCCTCATTTTTTTGGATTCTTTTTTCTTTTTGCTGTTCTGATTGGGCGTTTTTTGCTTCCTTATATTCCAAATCGATGGTTTGCTCCCTGGATTTACGTACTCTATTGTTGAAGCTATGTAAATTATTCTTTATTTCAGTTAAAGCCTCCTTCGTTTCTAACTGTGCAGCGATTATTTCTGACTGGTCCTTTTTTATGCTCTTGAGGCCCTCACTGAGTTCATTGAGCATCCTTATAAGCAGTATTTTGAACTCAGCATCTGTTAGGTTGCTTATCTCCATTTCGCTTAGTTCTTTTCTTGGAGTTTTGTTCTGTTCTTTCATTTGGGACCTGTTTCTTTGTATCCTCATTTTGGCTGCCTCCCTGTGTTTGTTTCTGTGTATTACTTAATGAGAGGTATAGGGCTCGCTGACACCCGACGCTGCTCGTTTGAAAGAATTTAGGAAAAACCTGAAGCAGGACCCAAGACAGGCCAATCCTATGGTTAAGCAACTGGCAACAGGTTAGGTGGGCCTGAAAGTTGGGTGGGGCGGGGCAGGGCCTCAGGGAGTCTGCAGGGCGGGGCTACCAGTGTGAGCCAGGTTGCTGGAGTCCCAGATATGGCGACTGTCTGCTGCCCCAGGGAAGGGCTCACCAAAGGAACAAAGGCCTCTTACAGCACGTTTGTCCCGAGGAAGCCCCCTCTCCAGCCCTCGCTCCAGTGGCAAACAGCTCAGTTCTTCCCTGTATTTCTCTGGCGCCCCTCGAGCTGCCTCCCCTCCGAGCTTAGAGGGAGAGAGTCGGATAAGTCCGTGCGCGGGCCCTTTAGGGAGCTGCCTGGGGCTCCAGCCAGGTCAGCTTCCCTGAGCCTCAGTTTCCGCTGGTTTTTCCAGCCAGAAGTTATGGGGACTTCTCTTCCTGGCACTGGAAACCTGAGCGGGGCACCTGGTGTGGGACCGGGACCCCTCAGTCCTCAGGAAGGACCTTCCCAGCCGAGGGAGCCTCCTGATTTTTATCCGCCACACGTGGGTGTGGGACCAGCCCGTCGTGCTGCCGCGCTGCCGCCGCCGCCGCCGCCACCCCTCGCGCCACCGCCCCTCCTACTGGTCTGGATGTAGCTGCTTTTTTTTTTTTTTTTTTAATTCCGTAGTTGTAGGACTTCCATTCAGCTTGATTTCAGGTTTTGGATGATGGTTGTTCTGTAGTTTTGTTGTAACTTGGATGTGGTTGTGGGAGAACGCGATACTACGTTTCCCTACGCCGCCATCTTGACCGGAAGTCCCTGAGTCTTTTGTTTTTAAAAAATAAAATATATCTACTGGCCGGTGTGTTTTAGTGGTCGCACCAAGAGGTTGCCAGTTCGATTCTCGGTCAAGGCACATGCCCAGGTTGTGGGTCAAATCCCCAGTGGGGGGCATGCAGAAGGCAGCCAATCAATGTTCTCTGACATTGATGTTTCTGTATCTCTCTCTCCCTTTCTCTCTCTAAAAAAAAATCAATAAAGAAACAAAAAGTTTTTAAATAAAATAATTCTGCCCTGGCCGGTGTGGTTCAGTTGGTTAAACGTCTTCCTGTGCACTGAAAGTGTGCTGGTTCAATTCCCGGTTCAGACACATGCCAAGGTTGCAGGCTCGATCCTCAGTTGAGGTGTGTGTGGAAGGCAGCTAGCTGATCGATGTTTTTCTCTCACATCTATGTTTCTCTCTGTGTCTCCCTTTCTGAAATCAATAAAAACATTTTTTTATAAAGCTATAAAAATGAAATAAAATAATTCTCATGCCAGAGAGACACATTTTGGTGTGGCAAATTTTGCTTCTGTCAATGTAAGAAACATTCAAACACGTAAATAATTTTTGTAAGTTTATTTGAGCCAAACTGACAACAACATCTCAAGGCATTGAGATAACGTTCCACAGAATGGCAGTTTTGCACCTTATTGTATACATTACAATCAAAAGAGAAGACGTAAGTGGCTTACCTGAAATTCACTGATGATAGATTAGGAAGGTGGAAAAAAGCAAAGTGGGAAATCTCTGGTATTGGATGAAAAGTAAAATGATAGGCCCTGGCCGGTTCGGCTCAGCAGTTAGAGTGTCAGCCTGCAGTCCAGAGAGACCCGGGTTCAGTTCCCGCTAAGGGCATGTACCTCGGTTGCAGTTTCTCCCTGGCCCTGGTTCGGTAGTGTGGGTGGCAACCACTCGATGTGTCCCTTTCACATCAATGTTTCTCTCTCTCTCCCTCCCATTCTATCTGAACAAAAAAAAAAAGTTTTAATTTCAGCCCTGGCCAGTTTATCTCAGCAGTTAGAATGTTAGCCCGCGGACCAGAGAGTCCTGGGTTCGATTCCTGCTAAGGGCACATACCTCGGTTGTGGTTCATCTCTGCCCCAGTTGGGGTTGTGCAGGTGGCAACCGGTCGATGTGTCTCTCTCATGTCGATGTTTCTCTCTCTCTCTTCTTCCCTCTCTCCTTCCTGCTCTATCTGAAGATAAATGCAAAAATGTCCTCGGGTGAGGATAAAAAAAAAAAAGAAAGAAAGAAAAAGAAAAGAGAGAGCAAGATTACTAAACTTAAACCTGTCATACTTCAAAATTTTGGCCATCACTATCTCTGCTTCGATCATCCAGTAAACGAAAGAAGACCCAAGAGTCATTGTGAAACAGCTTGGGCAAGAAGCAATCTTGGGTTCAGAAAAGCCCAGTTTTTAAACTCTGTCACTTAGACTGGGAAAAATATTATGTTGAGTTTTCCTATTTTCAGTGGGAAATTAGTCTTCTGGATGATTTCTATACTTTCTGATAGCCTCCTCCAATTTATTGTATTTTATTATTTGGTTAGGATATAGGGAAGTCACATAGGGCCAATTAAATATTTGTTCACTCTGCCCTGACCGGTATGGCTCAGTGGTAAGAGCATCGCCCAAGGACCAAAGAGTCCTGGGTTCAATTTCGGCCAAGGGCACATACCTCAGTTGCGGTTTATCCCTGGGCCCGGTTGGGGTTGTGTGGGTGGCAACCAGTCGATGTATCTGTCTCACATCGATGTTTCTCTCTCTCTCTCTCTCTTCCTATCTCCCTCCAACTCTATCTGAAGATTAATGTAAAAATGTCCTCTGGTGAGGATTAAAAAAAAAAATTAGCCCTGGCCAGTTTGGCTCAGCGGTTGAGTGTTGGCCTGTGGTCCAGAGAGACCTGGGTTCGGTTCCCACTAAGGGCATGTACTTCGGTTGCAGTTTGTCCCCGGTCCTGGTTGGTTGTGCGGGTGGCAACCTCTCGATGTGTCCCTTTCACGTTGATGTTTCTCTCTCTCCCTCTCACTCTATTTGAAAAAAAAAAAAAAAAGGAAAAAGTGTCCTCGGGTGAGTACTAAAAAAAATAATAATAATTAAATATTTGCTCACCCTCCAGGGAATCCCTGCATTTCATGTCAGTAACCAGAATAGGAGCTTTCCCAAGACACACAATGAGTGCATAAAAGAGAGAATTTCATAAAACAATTGAGATCACATTTCACTTAATGTATAATATGAATGCAGTGACTAGCCATGTAGAATTTTATTACTTTATTATTTTATTATTATTATCTTTGTTAATCCTCACCTGAGAATATTTTTTTTCTTTATTAATGTAGTTTTGTTACAGATGTTTCTCCTTTTTCCCCCATTGACACCCTTCTCCCTATCCCCACCTTCAGAGAATATTTTTTCCTTTATTTTTTAGATAGAGTGAAAGGGAGGGAGGAAGGGAGAGAAAGACAGAGAGAGAGAAACTTCAGTGTGAAAGAGACACATCCATTGGGTGCCTCTGGAACAACCCCAACCGGGGCCAGTGATTGAAACTGCAACCCAGGCCCTGGCCGGTTTGGCTCAGCGGTTAGAGCGTCGACCTGCGGTCCGGAGAGACCCGGGTTCGGTTCCCGCTAAGGGCACGTACTTCGGTTGCAGTTTGTCCCCGGCCCTGGTTGGTCGTGCGGGTGGCAGCCACTCGATGTGTCCCTTCACGTCGATGTTTCTTTCTCTCTCTCCCTTCCTCTCTCTCCCTCCCAATCTATAAAAAAAAATAAAAAAATAAAAGAAACTGCAACCCAGGTACATGCACTTTACCAGGAATTGAACTCGAGACCTTTTGGTCTGAGGGCTGTCGCTCTAACCACTGAGCAAATCCGTCCAGGGCTAGCCATGTAGAGTTAGAAAAAAAAAAAAAGACTTCTAATTTTCAAATATCAGTTTCTGTTGTATAATTACATCCGACTATGGTCACAGTAAAATGAGAAATACACATTCTTTTGCTTGAGAGGGTTCTGACACATGTGGATTGAGTAGGCCCATGGATCCCATCAGTGGAGCAGGGTTTGTTCTCTTCAAAGAGATCTCAGGGCTCCAGAAAATCTCCTTCTGTTCTTACCCTGCAGGGAGAGATTTAAAAATCATTTTCCCAATACCCACAAATTACTATTAATCTCAAATGAAACAAATGTATTTTCGGCTTTAGTTTTAGTTGAGAAGTTGGTATGTTAAAAATTCTTTTAGCTGCTCTTTCTCCAAGTACAACATGCATAGGGAATAAAACATAGCCTTTGGGCTCTGATCTACAAAGAGTTAACTTCTTAAGAGCTAAACAGAAATGTATTAACTCCTCTGTTAACAAGCCAGGCAGACAAGAGGATTCTAGAGTACTAGAGGACACCATAGAAGTCAGAGAAAAGAACTGGAGAGAGCTCTCTTGAGGAAGCAAAAACTGTAAGTTTATATCTAATACATATTTATGGTCTCCCATTTCTTTCCATGGGGTGTTTTTGAGAACAGTGAAACCAGTTTCTTCGTCTTGTATTGTACCACAGTCTCCCAGGCATCAGGCACAACATGGCTAGATCATCTTTAATCCTGTCACTCTCTTTACTCCATCTCACATCCAACTAATCATCAAGTCTCTTGATTCTCCTTCCTTGGGGTCTTTGTGATTTATCCCACCCTGCCATCCCCCAGCCACTATCCTTCCTCGTTCAAAGCCTCTTGTCTGAACCACAGTAATATCCTCTTAACAATCCTCCTTCTCTGCCAGTCTTTCTAACTCACTAATAGCAGATGAATCTTCCTAACGCTCTTCTGCAGCTCTAACTTTAATGCTCTTGTGCGCAAAATGTGTAAGTTCCTGGCCATTTTGACAGAATGAATAGCACATCTCTATTTTAAATGCAAAGTCTTCCAAAACGTGCACTTAAAATCTCACAACTCTTTCTCAAACTCGTCATGCCTACCTGCTATTGTGCAAGACTGACCCGTCCCGCAGGTCGAGCAACGAGGACTCTAGAGGGGGAGTGAGGATGAGGCGGGACAAGAGACAGGAGAAATGGAGACAAGACAGGGCTCTGATCAAGTCTCGTTTATTCTGGGGAAATTCACACAATATAGAGGGCAGGAAAAACAAGATCATTTGTTGTTAAGCGATAAGTTATTGAGTAACCACCCCGAAGCACGGGTGGAACAAAAGACTGAGTAAATGGTTCAAAATGCAGAGATATAGCAGAGATGTCCTGCCTTGGGGCAGGAGATGGCAGAGCAGATTTTACTTAAAGAAATGCAGAGATAAAGAAATGCAGAAGGCAGAGATATCCTGCCTTGGGGAAGGTGATGGCAGAGCAGATTTTAACAAAATGGATGCCATGAAAAATGTCTCCCACACAAGACCACCTGCTCTTTGCCCAGTCCTGACCCTATTCAAACTGTCCTCTTTGTATAGAGCACTGTATCTCCACCTGCCAAAATCCCTCTCAGACTCCAGCACCCTCCCTCCGTAATGCTTTATCTGATCCTTCAAGTGAATGTGAATTTCAGTCTTTTCCTCTCTCACTTTGTTTTGTTCCTTCTGATTGTCTATATATTTTATCTTACAGTTAAACATGAGCTTTTCTCATTTTTCTCTTAATTATTCACTTCCTAATAAGCAAGTGTTCTTTCTCTTTCTTTCTTCCTTTCTTCCTTTCTTCCTTTCTTCCTTTCTTCCTTCCTTCCTTCCTTTCTTTCTTTCTTTCTTTCTTTCTTTCTTTCTTTCTTTCTTTCTTTCTTTCTTTCTTTCTTTCTCTCTCTCTCTTCTTTCTTTTCTTTCTTTCTCTCTCTCTCTTTCTATCTCTCTCTCCTCACCCGAGGACATTTTTCCACTTTTTGTTCAGGTAGAGTGGAAGGGAGGGAGAGAGAGAGAGAGAGAGAGAGACATCGACGTGAAAGGGACACATGGAGTGGTTGCCACTTGCACGACCCAACCGGGGCTGGGGACTAACTGCAACTGAGGTACATGCCCCCAGTGGGAACCGAACCCAGGTCTCTCTGGACCGCAGGCTGACGCTCTAACCGCTGAGCCAAACTGGCCAGGGCTCTTTCTTTTTTTTTTTTTTCATCCTCACCTGAGGATATTTTTCCATTTTTTGTACAGATAGAGTGGGAGGGAGAGAGAGGAAGGAGAGAGAGAGAGAAACACCGACGTGAAGGGACACATCGAGTGGCTGCCACCCGCATGACCAACCAGGGCCGGGGACAAACTGCAACCGAAGTATGTGCCCTTAGCGGGAACCGAACCCAGGTCTCTCTGGACCGCAGGCCGACGCTCTAACCGCTGAGCCAAACCGGCCAGGGCTCTTTCTTTTTTTTTAAATTTTGTTTTCTTTATTGATTTTAGAGAGAAAGGAAGGGTTAGGGAGAGAGAGAGAAACCATCAATGAGGGAGAACATTGACTGGCCACCTCCTGCATGCCCCACACTGGGGATTTGGCTCACTGCATGTGCCCTGACCAGCAATCGAACCGGTGACCTCTTGATGCATGGGTCGATGCTCAACCACTGAGCCACACCAGCCAGGCCTCTATTTTTCTTCTTGTAGCAACTGGACAAAATGGGCACATAGTAATATTTGTCAAATTAAGTTCAATCCAAATTCCTATCATCCTTCATGAGCATTCATCCAATGGACGCTGCGATTATAGAGCCTATACTTTTCTCCACAGCTTTTCCACAGCTCTGCTCCAGGCTTGCTTCTCGGTGCTTCCATCTCATTTATCTCTATCCTCTTACACAGGATCAGCTCCTCCTGATTTCCCTAACTCACTGGAAAACTATTTTCTTTAAGGCTCTCTTCGTAATTCATCACCTTCTTCCCCCAGGCCTTCAACTCAAAAGAGCCCAACTGCAGCCCAACTACAGAGACTTCAGTATTTACTGGACTGTTAAAGTTAATTCCTTACACAGGAAGACTTGAATTCCTAATCCATATTAAATTGAGATGTTAAGCCCCTGGCTGGTTTGGCTCAGCAGTTAGAGCATTGGCCTGTGGTCCAGAGAGACCAGGGTTCGGTTCCCACTAAGGGCACGTACCTTGGTTGCAGTTTGTCCCCGGCCCTGGTTGGTTGTGCGGGTGGCAGCCACTCGATGTGTCCCTTTCATGTCGATGTTTCTCTCTCTCTCTCTTCCTCTCTCTCCCTCCCACTCTATCTGAACAAAAAAAATGGAAAAATGTCCTCAAGTGAGAATAAAAAAAAAAAATTTGTTGTTCCAATTATTGATGCATTCATTGGTTAGTTCTTATATGTGCTCTGACCGGAGAATCAAACTAGCAACATTGGCATATCAGGCAGATACTCTAACTAACTGAGCTACCTGTCCACAGATGCAAGGGAATTTTTTTCTTTATTGATTTTAGAGAGAGAGGAAGGGAGAAGGAGAGAGAGATCAAAACACTGATGAGAGAGAACATCGATCAGTCGCCTCCTGCATGCCCCCCACTAGAGACTGGGCCCACAACTTGGGCCTGTGCCCTGACTAGGAATCAAACCGGCGACCTCTTGGTGCATGGGTTGATGCTCAGCCACTAAGCCACACCAGCCGGGCTCAAGGGAATTCTTTTTTTTTAAAGAATAGCAACTTTATTTATTTATTTATTTTTATCCTCACCCGAGGACATTTTTTTTCCATTTTTTATTCAGATAGAGTGGGAGGGAGAGAGAGGAAAGAAGAGAGAGAGAGAAACATCGATGTGAAAGGGACACATCGAGTGGCTGCCACCCACACGACCAACCAGAGCCGGGACAAACTGCAACCGAGGTATGTGCCCTTAGCGGGAACCAAACCCAGGTCTCTCTGGACCATAAGCCGACGCTCTAACCACTGAGTCAAACCATCCAGGACTCAAGGGAATTCTTTTAATCTTTAATTCCATTGAGTTAAAATGATTTATAAACACTCCTTCCTTCCATCTACTCTCCGCTTTTTTTTTTTCTGAGAGATTAAATCTGGCCACTTTATTGGATTTTACAACTTTCTTCATCACACCTTCACTGACAGTCACTCCTGGGTTTTGTTTTCTGACATTCTTTTTTATTCCCCATTCATTTTTTATTTTATTTTTTAGAGAGAGTCGAAGAGCTGGAGGGAAGGGGCGGGGAGGAGAGAGAGAAACATCAATGTGTGAGAGAAACATCGATATGGGAGAGAAACATCTACTGGCTGCCTCCTGCATGCCCCCTATTGGGGATCAAGCCCACAACCTGGGCATGTGCCCTGACGGGGAATCGAACCGGGACGTCTCAGTCCATGGGATGACACTCAGTTCACTGAGCTACACCAGCCAGGCCCTCCATTTCATTCTTAGAGCTTCTTTGACTGCAGTGGTAATGGTAGTTTTCAGTTGCTCCACAGCGGCATACAGCTTTGATGGTGTGCTTTGAAATGGTTATAACAAAAGCAGTCTTCTCTGTCTAGATATTAAAGATCGACAGCATCTCTCCTTTCACTACAGCTCCATTTTTGCAATTACTTTATTTATTTATTTATGTGTCCCTAGCAGGAATCAAACCCGGGACTCTCTGGTCTGCAGGCCAGCGCTCCAACTGCTGAACCAAACCAGCCAGGACGCAAATGACTTTAGATCCAGAGGGTCAGGCCTGTGATTCAGTTACCTCTCTGTTCTCTTTCATGTTACTTCTCTGCAGAAGGAGGCTGAAAAGACAGGGTAACTTAGAAAAACTGCGAAAGTCACCTTAAATGTGAGATTTTCTTTAAAGCAAAATGGTTTCTTTGGTTGCTTCCATTCTGTTTTAATCCTAGGATTATTGTCTAACGTGTGAGAGAGGACATCAGCTTTTGGGCGATTATTCAGCTTCCTTAAAATAGGCATGCTATGAAATCTATATAGACCCATTTAAAATTATGTCCCTGGAAAGAGGTCCTCACTTATTGTGGTTTTAAAAAATGAAACATTGCAGAAATGAATATAAATTACCCAATTCAAGTTAAATTGTCTGGAAAGTAGATCAACAAAATGTTAATGTTCTCTCCCAGTGATAGAATGTCTCATGCTTTTTACTTTTTCTTTACATTTCTCTGTTTGTTTGAAACAAGCTTGTGAATAAGCTTCTCAGTTCACAAGTCAAGCTAGCTTCAGATGAAAGGGGAGATTTGTTGTTCACAGAACTCTCCTACAGAACCTGAGACAGGAACAGAGACAGGCCTTGGAAAAGACTGAAATCAAGAACAGAACACTTTTGCCCTGGCTGGTTTGGCTCAGAGGTTAGAGTGTCGCCCGCAAACCAGTGAGTCGTGGGTTCGATTCCGGTCAAGGGCATGTACTCGGTGGCGATTCATCACCAGCCCTGGTTGGGGTGGTGCGGGAGACGGCTACTCGATGTGTCCTTTTTACGTCGATTTTTCTCTCTCTTTCTCCCTCTCCTTCCCGCTCTAGCTGAACAAAAATGGAAAAATGTCCTCAGGTGAGGATATAAAAAACTAAAAAACAAAACAGAAACAAAAAGAACAGAACACTTTCAGTCTGGCTGGTGTGGCTCAGAGGTTGAGCATCAACCCATGCACCAAGAGGTCACCGGTTTGATTCCCAGTCAGGACACATGCTCAGGTTGTGGACCTGATCCCTATTGGGGAACATGCAGGAGGCGGCCAGTCAATGTTCTCTGTCATGGATGTTTCTATCTCTCTCTCCTTCTCATTTCCTCTCTCTGTAAAATCAATAAAGGAAAAAAAAAAAAAAGAGAACACTTTCAGGACTTTTGCCTCCTATCAGCCACTCAATGTCATTCTTTCTCTTGATTTATTTATTCATTCATCTATTCATGTGTTCCATATATATTTGTTAGGTACCTAATATATTCAAGGAGCTGTTCAGGTACTGGGAAATAGAGTTAAACAATAGAAACCAAATTTCTGTCTCCAAAGTCCTTATCTTTTAGTGAGAGGAGACAGACCATAAACATGTGTAAAAATGTGAAGGTAGTGCCCGGCTGGTGTGGCTCAGTGGATTGAGCGTCATCCCATGGACTGAGAGGTCCTGGTTCCATTCCAGGTCAGGGCACGTGCCCACGTTGTGGGCCTCATCTTCAGTGGGGAGCATGCAGGAGGTGCCAATTGATGTTCTCTCTCATTGATGTTTCTATTTCTCTCTCTCCCTCCCCCTTACTCTCTCTAAAATCAATAAAGAAAAAAAAAATGAAGGTAGTTACTGAGTCCAGTAAGTGTTACAAAGGAAATAAATGGGGCGGTATGACAGAGTAAAACTGAGGAAGTGCACACTTTAGCTATGAAGGTCAGGGAAAGTCCTCTTGGCAGAAGAGAAGATGCTGAGAGACTGAACCAGTCCTGTAAAGAGCAAGGAAAGAACATTCCAGCAAGTACAAAGGCCCGAGGCAAGGAGGAGCTTGATGGGGAAACAGAGAGGAGGCCAGTGGCCATTAAGTGTTGTGAGCTAGAAAAAGAGAGGTACAAGGTGCGACCTGAGAAACTGGAGAAAGGTCAGATCATGGAGGGTGCTGTAGGCCACAGTAAGGAGTTTAGATTTATCATTTTTTAAATTTTTTTATCCTCACCTGAGGACATTTTCCCATTTTTTGTTCAGATAGAGTGGGAGGGAGAGAGAGAGAGAAAGAGAGAGAGAGAGAGAGACATCGATGTGAAAGGGACACATCGAGTGGCTGCCACCCACACAACCTAACCAGGACCGGGGACAAACTGCAACCGAGGTACGTGACCTTAGCGGGAACCGAACCCGGGTCTCTCTGGACTGCAGGCCGATGCTCCGACCGCTGAGCCAAACCGGCAAGGGCAGGAGTTTAGGTTTTAAATGTAAAGTTAACGTTGGCTCTCTCTATGGAGCAAACTTGTGCCTTCCTTCATCCCACTCCCTCGGGTGCATTTTCCTTACCTCTATCTCCTAAGCTCCAAGGGCCCTTTTTTTGGTTTTTGTTTTTTTAGTTGATTTCTGGAGAGAGATAGAAACATTGATGTGAGAGAAAAATATCAATAGGCTGCTTCTGAACCAGGACCTCTCAGTCCATGGAATGATGCTCAATCCACTGAGCCACACTGGCCGGGTTATAAACCCTTCTTTTGCCTCTATGGAAAAAAAATAATAATAATAAAATAAAAATAATGTAAAGGAAAGGCATTGGAGAATTTTAATCAGGAAATGCTATGACCTGGTTGTTTTATAAAGATCAAGATCTGGATGTTTGAGGAAGAATTGATGAGGGAGGGAAAATGGGGAGAGCATTACTAAAACACGGTTAAGAGACACAGGTGGCTTGAATTATAGTGATAGCTGTGGAGACAAGGTGATATATTTTTAGAAAGTACCTAGTTGATTTGGTAATGAATGACAGAAGAGAGAAATCAAGGCTTGGGGAACTGGTAGGATGGTAATGCCATTTATGAAGATAAAGAAAGACTAGGAGATCATGTTTGAGAGAGAAATCAAAATTCCTGTGTGACAGGTGAGTTTGAGATACCTAGTAGTTATGCAACAGGAAATGTTGAAAAGACAGGAAGATCAAGAAATCTGAAGGTCTGGGCTGGAGATAAAAATTTTTGGAAGAAACAACATATATATGCATAGCATTTAAAACCAGGAAATTGGATAGTTTAATCCAGAAATAGAAGGTTGACCAAGGTATAACATGACTGTACAGATAGTTAGGCTACAAAGCAGAATTCACAAGTTTATATAATAGTTCTAGTCATTCATAGAGTCTAATTTAACTCTTTCAGCCCTATTTCCAACCACTTGAGAAAGAGCATTTGATTGGCCCAGACTGAGTCAGTTGTCTACCCCTGGCCCCATGACCAATGACGGTGGGGAGTAGATCACAGAGTATAATCTGGTTTCTGGGCGTTCAGTCCGTGTAAATGGAGTGGGCATAGAGGGTCTGAGGCTCATTCCCAGAGAAAGGGGATGGCAATTGGCTTCCAGGCTGAGCAGACACTTAAAGAATGATCCAGCCGTGGCCAGTTTGGCTCAGCGGTTAGAGCGTCGGCCTGCGGTCTGGGGAGACCCGGGTTCTGTTCCCGCTAAGGGCACGTACTTTGGTTGCAGTTTGTCCCCGGCCCTGGTTGGTCGTGCGGGTGGCAGCCACTCGATGTGTCCCTTCACGTCGATGTTTCTCTCTCTCTCTCTCTCATCCTCTCTTTCCCTCCCACTCTATCTGTCCAAAAAATGGAAAAATATCCTTGGGTGAGGATTAAAAAAAAAAAAGAATGATCCAAAATTATATGCATCAATTCTGTAATCAGAAAAATTTATTTCATTTCTTTTTTTTTTTTAATCTTCACCCGAGGACATTTTTCCATTTTTTGTTCAGGTAGAGTGGGAGGGAGAGAGAGAACCAGAGAGAGAGAGAGAGAGAGAGATCGATGTGAAAGGGACACATCGAGTGGCTGCTACCCGCACGACTGACCAGGGCCGGGGACAAACTGCAACCGAGTACATGCCCTTAGCGGGAACCGAACCCGGGTCTCTCAGGACCGCAGGCCGATGCTTTAACCACTGAGCCAAACCGGCCAGGGCCATTTCTTTTTTTAAATCCTCACCTGAGGATATTTTTTCCATTGATTTTCAGATGGAGATGGGGGGAGGGGAGAAACATCAATGTGAGAGAGACACATCAGTTGCCTCCCGCAGGACCCCAACCAAGGCCTGGTACCAACCGCAACTGAGGTATGCGCCCCTGACCCTGACCCGAATCGAACCTGCGACTCTTTGGTTCGTGGGCCGACGCTCTAACTGCTGAGCCAAACCGGCCAGGACCGATTTTATTTTCTAAAAGTTATGTCATTTTGCCCTAGTCGATTTGGCTCAGCGGTTAGAGTATCGGCCTATGGTCCGGAGATACCCAGGTTCGGTTCCCGCTAAGGGCACGTACCTCGGTTGCAATTTGTCCCCGGCCCTGGTTGGGTCGTGTGGGTGGCGACCACTCGATGTGTCCCTTTCATGTCGATGTTTCTCTCTCTCTCCCTCTCTCTCCCTCCCGCTCTATCTGAACAAAGAATGGAAAAATGTCCTCGGGTGAGGATAAAAAAAAAAAAAAAGTTATGTCATTTTTACTGAATGCTTGGTCTTACTATTTTTTTTTTTAAACATAATTTTCTTGATTTTGTTGTTGTTGTTGTTGTTGTTAGAGAGAAAGAAAGGGAGAGAGATAGAAACATCAATGTGAGAGAGAAACATCCATAGGCTGCTTCCTGCACACCCCCCACTGGGGATTGAGCCGGCAACCTGGGCATGTGCCTTGACTGGGAATGGGACTGGGACCTCTCAATCCATGGGCTGATGCTGAATCCACTGAGCCACGCTAACTGGGCAAATCTTAACTCTTTAGTATAGAGAGGTTCCATACCACTAAGTTGCATGTGGGGGCTGGAATTTTGTTTTTTTATTTCAGTGTCCGCTAGCATCTCTTACAGCTTGAGAACCTGATATGACATCACATCTCCTGGTGGACAATACATTAAAGAACCTGTTAGGAACATAGATCCGATACCACCCATGGTACCAGCATTGAAAGGTAAATACAATGCCAGAGGATGAATGCCTTTTATTTCTTATTTAAATCTTTTTCTTTTTTAATCCTCACCCGAGGACATTTTTAGATAGAATGGAAGTCGGGGAGGGAGGAAGAAAGAGGGGGAGAGAGAGAAACGAGGGACACATCAATTAGCTGCCTCCCACATGATCCCAACCAGGAACCAAAGTACATGCCCTTGACCTGGTGCTGAACCAAGACCCTTCTGTTTGCCGGCCAATGCTCTAACCATTGAGCAAAACTGGCCAGGACACATAGCTGAGAGACTGGTTTCATTCAAAGAGATTGAGCAAATAAGTAAATACATTGAGGATGATGGAAGCTGCTTTTTAAAAAATTTTTTTTTTCTTTATTGATTTTTAGAGAGAGAGAAAGGGAAAGGGAGAGAAACATCAATGAGAGAACATTGATTGGCCACCTCCTGAATGCCCCCCACTGGGGATTGGGCCCACAACCTGGACATGTGCCCTGACAGGGAATAGAACCGGCAACCTCTTAGTGCATGGGTCGACGCTCAACCACTGAGCCACACCGGCCAGGCTGAAAGCTGGTTTTTTGAGAAAAGAGATGCAAATATGGAAAGGGAGAAGGCTAGAATAAACCATATGATTTTGGATTTTAAATGAAGATATCAGAGTGAACTCATGGTTTCCAGCATAGAGAAAGATATAAATATGTGTGTTTGTATCTTTATTTTTTTTGTGTGGTATGTGCCCCTAGTGGGAACCGAACCTGGAGACTCTGGTCTACAGGCTGACGCTCAACCGCTGAGCCAAATTGGCCAGGGCGTGTGTTTGTATCTTAATTGTGATGGTTTCACAGTTATATAAATATGTAAAAATTAATCAAATTTTACACTTTATTAAAAAAAATTTTTTTTATTTTTTATTGTTAAAAGTATTACAGATGTTGCCCTGGCCGGTTTGGCTCAGAGGCTGGAGTGTTGGCCTGCGGACCAGAGGGTCTGAGTTTGGTTTCCGCTAGGGGCACGTACCAAAAAAAAAAAGTATTACAGATGTCCCCCTTCTTTCCCCATTGACCCCCTCCTCCCTACTCCCACCCCCTTCTGCTTTCCCCAACCTAATGTCTGTGTTCATTGATTGTGCATATATGCATATAAGTTCTTTGGTTTATCTCTTCCCACCCTCCTACCCCCCTCCCTCTGAGGTTTGTTATTCTGTCCCCTACTTCTGTGACTCTGGATCTATTTTGGTAGACAGCTTATTTTGTTCATGATGTTCCATAAATAAGTGAGATTTTGTGGTACTAGTCTTTGACTAGCTTAGTCTTTCTCACATTGATATTTCTCTCTAAGCATTATACTCTCCAGGTCCCTCCATGCTATCTCAAAGGATAGGAGATCTCTCTTTCTTACAGCTGCATAGTATTCCATTGTGTAAATGTATCATAACTTTTCCTTACCTGAGGATATTTGTGCATTTATCTTCAGACAGAGCGGGAGGGAGAGAGGGAGAAAGCGAGAGAAACACATTGAGTGGTTGCCACCCACACGACCCCAACCGGGGCGCTGACAAACTGCAACCAAGGTACATGCCCTTAGTGGGAATTGAACTCGGGCCTCTCTGGTCCGCGGGCTGATGCTCTAACTGCTGAGCCAAGCAGGCCAGGGCTACTACAGCATTTTTATCCACTTAGCTACTGATAGACACTTGGGTTGTTTCTAGATCTTAGCAATTGTAAGTAGCGCTGCTGTGAACATAGGGGTGCCTATATTCTTCTGATCGGTGTTTTCAGGCTTCTTAGGATATATTCTAAGAAGTGGGATCACTGGGTCAAAGGATGTTGGGAGATGACTACATGTCTTACAGAGTCCATGAAGCCTGGAGGTCTTGAGTCAGAGACTTGACCTTCCCCACAATCTCAAGGAATTAGGCTTGCATTGTGTTTGTGCAGCTCGGGGCTAAGTGTGACCCAATGTACCTTGAAATACCTGAAATCACAGACTGAGTGGGCCTGGGTATTCCTGTTATCCGCAAGGCAAACTAATTCTATACAGCATTGTTGTAGGCCTGGGCATTATATCAAGAAGATCCTATTTTCTTATTTCATTTAACTTTTGCTGTAAGATATAAAAGGCATGTAATAAAGCATATAGAGGCTGATCCCACTGAGGACGGTCCTCCTTGTCCCATATCTGTGTCTTTATCTTCATTCCCACTGCTTGAACTGAGGGATGCTGCTCTCCAGGCTGGTTTCTGGCAAAAGAGCAGTTCAATTTTTAATTTTTTGAGGAAACACCATATTGTTTTCCGTAGTGGTTGCACCAGTCTGCATTCAAACCAGCAGTGTACTAGAGTCCCCTTTTCTCCACACCCTCACCAGCCCTTGTTTGAGGTCTAATTTCACACTTTAAATATTTTCAACGTAGCCATGGCCGGTTTGACTCAGCGGTTACAGCATCGGCCCGTGGATCAGAGAGACCCGGATTTGGTTCCACTAAGGGCAAGTAATTCAGTTGCAGTTTGTCCCTGGCCCCGGTTGGGGTCATGTGGGTGGCAACCAGTCGATGTGTCTCTCTCACATTGATGTTTCTCTCTCTCTCTCCCCCTCCCTCCCTCTCTCCCTTCCACTCTATCTAAAAAATCAATGGAGCCCTAGCTGGTTTACTCAGTGGTTAGAGAATTGGTCTGTGAAGAAGAGAGTTGCTGATTCAATTCCCGGCAAGGACACATACCTTGGTTGCGGGTTTGATCCCTGGCCCAAGCAAGGTCATGTGGGAAGCAACCAATTGGTGTGTCTCTCTCACATTGATATTTCTCTCTCTCTCTTCCCCTCCTTTCCATTCTATCAATGGGGGGAAATATATATATATATATAATCTCCTCTGGTGAGGATTAACAATAACAAAAATCAATGGAGAAATATCCTTGGTTGAGGATTAACAACAACAAAAAATTTTTTTAAAGAATTTTATTGATTTTTACTAAGAGAGAGAAACATTGATCGGTTGCTTCCCACACATGCCCCACCTGCAATTTGGGTATGTGTCCTGATTGGGAATCAACCCGCTACCTTTTGGTGTATGGGTCAACAGTCCAACCAACTGAGCCACGCTGGCCAGGAACTGAGCTCTCTTTCTTCCAGAAAAGGAGCTGTATTTTGGGCTCTGTGGATTTAGAATGGTTCTCATGAGGTCAGAGCCGCCTCTGGGCCGGTGAACACTCACCCATTGAAAAATGTGCTCTAGTTTCTTCTGCTTACACCAAACAGAGGCTCCATTCCCAGGAGGTGGTTTTGGGGATAGTTTCTCCAGACCACAAAAACAAATGAGATGACTCCTGGTAATTAAGAAAGGTTTCTGTACTTTTCCTTATGGGAGTTTTAAATATGATAGTGGGCACAATCTTTGTCTAGATTCAAATAATCTAAGGAGAAGAAAATGTAGAAGAATAAATTAAAAAGAAAAATTAAGTAGACTTACAGCCCTATTTGATATTTTTTAAGAGAATGTACTTTCTAGACAGAAAGTTGAGTCATACCTCATGCTGGAATGATATGGAATGATATTCCTTATCCAGGAGTGATATGGAATGACTCCATTAGTAAACATTTCATATACTTTGTTTCCTCTTAAACACTTGACTCAAGATAGATTTAAGCCCTCTGGACAAAATGTGATAAAGAGACCTAGTGGGTTTTTTAAGTTAACTGTAAAAATAATCTCCATTTACCCTCTTCTGGGACTTTAGGTAAGAATTTCAGCAAGATGAGCCGGGAAGATTTAGAAGATTGTTTGTTTCATCTTCGTGAAGAGCACATGTTGCTAAAAGAGCTTTCTTGGAAGCAACAGGATGAGATCAAAAGGTACCCAGAGTTCTCCTTTCGTTTTTAAAAGCTGTATCTACACCAGGCCTACACCACACTAAAGCAAAAAGAATACATTTTCCTGTGTTGTCTATCCCAGAAAACAATTCAAATGTCAAAAATGGTTAACTCTAAAAATAATTTTTGGAAGCAATATTGCTTTATTTGGTTTTCTTGTCAAACACGTCAGTAGACTGCAGCGGTAGGCCACAAAGCATCAAGAGCTAGGGACAGGGGAAATGGCTAAAATCTCAGTGGAACAAAGGCTGTGGGGGCAAGTAAGAGAAGGATTTTTTATTTATAAAATGAAACAAAAAATCATATTGATCATTTACTGTATGGAGGTATGTTGTAAAAGCTTTATAAGTATTAACTAACCAAGAAGTTAAGTAACTTCTCAGAGTTACAGCTAATGAGTGGCAGAGCTGAAAGCTCTTTTCTCTCTCTCTCTCTTTTATTTATTTACTTATTTTTCCATTTTTATTAATTTATTTTTGTTACAGATGTTTCTCCTTTTTCCCCACTAGACACCCTCCTCCCCATCCCGCCCTCCCACCCTCCCAGCATGGTTGTCTATGTCCATTGGTTATGCTTATATGCGTATATGTTTTTTGTTTATCTCATCCATACCACCCCACCCCACCCCCGCCCCCGCCCCCAGAGCTGAAAGCTCTTAACTCAAAAATTTAAATACAGCCCGGCCTGTGTGGCTCAGTGGTTGAGCATCGACCCATGCACCAGGAGGTTGCCAGTTCGATTCCCAGTCAGGGCACATGCCCAGGTTGTGGGCCAAATCTCCAGTGTGGGGCATGCAGGAGGCAGCCAATCGATGTTCTTGCTCATTGATGTTTCTATCTCTCTCTCTCTCTTCCTCTCTCTCTAAAAAACAATCAATAAAGAAAAAAAATTAAAAAAAAATTTTAATACAGTGACTTTAGGGTAATGGTTTTCAAAAGTGCATCTCCCTTGCCCTGGCCGGTTTGGCTCAGCGGTTAGAGCTTTGGCCTGCGGACCAATGAGTAGCGGGTTTGATTCCGGCCAAGGGTACCTCAGTTGCGGTTCGTCCCCGGCCCGGGGTTGGGGTCATGCAGGAGGCAGCCACTCGATGTGTCTCTTTTCATGTCAACGTTTCGCTCTCCTCCTCTCTCTCCCTCCCACTCTGTCTGAACAAAAGATGAAAAATATCCTTGGGTGAGAATTGAAAAAAAAAAATTAAAAACCAAAGAGCACATCTCTTGGGTGGGGCTCTGAATCTGAGATGGGGTAAGGGTAGATAAACAGATGAAAAGAATGGAGTTCTGCAAGTTTCAGGCTTATCTCTAGGACATATTTTGAAGATGCTGGTGTCAGTGCGGTTCAGCCAAAGACCAACAGGAACACACCTACAGCTGAGCAAGTTGGGTTTATTACTCATTGCAGCTAGAGAAAATGCACACCATGGGGAACTAAGGGCATCTCAGTAGGGATGTGTTAGAAAGAACCTGTTATAGGATTTGAGCTTCGGTTGGGTGATTTGGGGGAGAGTCCAAGGTAACAGTTTGCTCCACACTCGGTGCTATCAGAGAGCAGGGACACTTCTATGTTTGGATATCTCAGAAAATATTTTCTACAGGGAGGGTAGACTAGTGTGAGGGTATATCTATAATAGATAAAGAAGTAAGGTCACTCATAATTAGCCAGGAGAGAAGAAAGCTGGTATTTTGTGGTGGCACTGTCACCTTGCTTTTTGTCTGTGCTTAGACAAGTTTACACAGTGAACTTGTTTTGTATCATTCTATCTTGGTCTCAAATGGTCTGATCTTTGTATTCTGTGACATTATGTCCCAGAGGACACTAACATGGCCTAGCTGTGAGTACCAGGCCAATTTCAGGACTAGCTATGCCAGACCATTTCCCCAATGTCTTTTTTTTTTTTTTATCCTCACCCGAGGACACTTTTTGTTCAGATAGAGTAGGAGGGAGAGAGAGAGAGAGAAACATTGACATGAAAGGGACACATCGAGTGGCTGCCACCCGCACGACCAACCAGGGCCGGGGACAAACTGCAACCAAGGTACATGCCCTTAGCGGGAACCGAACCCGGGTCTCTTGGGACCGCAGGCTGATGCTCTAACCGCTGAGCAAAACTGGCCAGGGCGTTTCCCCAATGTCAAGAGCAAGTTTTTGCTTTCTCATTGGTAATGCCCAAGTGGCTCAGAGCTTCATTTAGAATCTAAAGGATTGCAGGCTTCCACTCTAAACTAGTGCTCTTCAGAGCTGGAGATTTTTTTTTTTTGTTAATCCTCACACAAGGATATTTTTTCCATTGATTTTTAGAGAGAGTAGGAGGGAGGGAAGGGAAGAGAGAGAGGGAGGGAGAGAGAGAGAAGGAGACATCAATGTGAGAGAGACACATTGATTAATTGGTTGCCTCCCGCACATGCCCCGACATGGGCTGCGGATCAAACCTGCAACCCAGGTATGTGTCCTGTCCGGAAATCAAACCCAAGACCTTTCAGTGCACAGGCCGATGCTCTAACTACTGAGCCACACCGACCAGGGCCTGGAGATTTTTAAAAAAATAATTTATTTATTTATTTTTGTTACAGATATTTCTCCTTTTTCCCCGCACTGATTTCCCCCTCCCATGGCCTGGAGATTTTTTTTTAAATCCTCACCCAAGGACATTTTTCGATATTTTGTTCAGATAGAGTGGGAGGGAGAGAGATAGAAACATCAACGTGAAAGGGACATATCGAGTGGTTGCCACCCACACGACCCAACCAGGGCCGGGGACAAACTGCAACCGAGGCACATGCCCTTAGCAGGAACCAAACCCGGGTCTCTCCGGACTGCAGGCTGACGCTCTAACCACTGAGCAAACTGGCCAGGGCGGCCTGGAGATTTTTAAAAAGATAATAGTTTATATTTATTTATTTATATCGTTTAAACATTTTTTTTATTGATTTTTAGAGAGAGAGGGAAGAAGAGAGAGAGAGAGAGAGAAACATGGATGTGAGAGAGAAACATCCATTGGATGCCTCCTGCATGTCCCCTACCAACCAGGGATTGAGCCTGCAATCCAGGCATGTGCTCTTGACTGGGAACCAACCTCCTCGTGCATGGAATGATGCCCAACCAATGGAGCCACACTAGCCAGGTCTGGAGATTCTTTTATATTGTAGAGAACTTAAGAATCTGAAGTCAGAAGGTTTCATGGGTCAAAAAATCTTGCTTCATATTGATAACCAAAAGGTACTTGAGAGACATATAGATTGGTTGCCTCCCACATGACCCTGACCAGGGGTGGGGACCGAACCACAACTGATGTATGCGTACCTTTGATTGGAATCAAACCCGCGACTCTTTGGTTCGCGGGCCAACACTCTAACCGCTGAGCCAGGTCAGCCAGGGCACTGAAAGGTACTTGAAATCATAGATATTAAGTGGCTAAATTGGATTCTAATCCCCGCACCCTGGCTTCAAACAAGTTACCTAGCTATTTTATGCCTCGATTTCTTTATCTGGATATAAATATAAGTAATAACAGTTAACTCATACAGTGCTTACAGTGCACTATCCCTGTCCTAAGCACTTTACATATATCATTTAATCCTCATAACAATCTAATGTGGCTGGTACAGTTTTGTCTTTATTCATAGATGAGGAAACTGAACATAAAAGGTTAATGGCATGCTCAAGGTCACAGTAAATGCCAGAAGTGGCAGGCAGTGAGACCACAGAATTTGATGGTAATAGTAAAAAAGCATGATTTTAGGTCAAGACAATAGATAGCGATTGACTATCCACTATAGATAAGGCTTGGTGTATACTGTGGGCTGTAGAAGACTAATCCTTAAAGTTGGGCACATATACAGCGGTGTGCAGACAACTGGGTTGGGAGAAGTAAATACTAAAATTTCTACTTATGCCCTCGCCGGTTTGGATCAGCAGTTAGAGTGTCGGACCATGGACCAGAGAGTTCTGGGTTCAGTTCCCGCTCAGGGTACGTACCTCAGTTGCAGTTTGTCCCCGGCCCCAGTTGGGGTTGTGTGGGTGGCAACCACTCGATGTGTCTCTCTCACATCAATGTTTCTCTCCCTCTCTTCCTCCCGCTCTATCTGAAGATAAATGCAAAAATGTTCTCAGGTGAAGAAAAAAATAAAATAAAATTTCTACTTATGCCCAGCTGGTGTGGCTCAGTGGTTGAGCACTGACCCAGTGACCAGGAGGTTGCTGGTTCAATTTCTGGTCAGGGCACATACCCAGGTTGTGGACCAAATCCCCAGTGGAGGGAATACAGGAAGCGGCCAGTCGATGCTCTCTCTCATTGATGTTTCTCTCTCCCTCTCCCTTCTTCTCTCTCTCAAATCAATAAAGAAAAATAAAATAAAATAAAATGTCTACTTATATTTAATAATGCCCCTTTTAAAAATTAGTATTTTTGTTTATGTTTTATAATGACCATACTTACTAGTAAGGAAGTAAAAGTATATAATTAAAGAAATAAACATACACACAGGTATATTGAAGGATGCTTGAACATTTTATGCTACGATGAGGTGTGTGATCACTGCAATAGAATGGACAAAGGTGGAACCACTATGTCCCTGCCTTCATAGTCTTACAGTACATTGGGGACAGAAAAATTATTTTATCTTTTTTTAGAAAATAAAAATTTTAAGTGTAAATAATGGACTGTGGTAGATAAATTTATATGACAGATCAATTCCGTTTATTTGCACCAAATAAACTGTAGAGGTAACTGAAAGAAGTCACATACCACCAGCTCTATTTTTGCCCTTAGGATGAGAACCGCCTTGCGGCGGTTGATCACTGCGGGGCGGGACCTGAGGGCTGAGGTGGCCCCGGAGCAGCTCCTGCAGCAAGCAAGGTGTCGGGATGCGGGGTGGCGGCAGCGCCCCACCAAGCACCAGCGTGCCTTCAAACTTGGGCAGCAACAGCAGTTCCAGCGCGGAGACCCCCCTGTTTCCCGGCACACCCAGCCTCGGGTCCGCGTGGGACAAAGACAGCTCCGCAGCGCCGGCCCCCCGGAGCCCGAGAAACCCAAGGCCGGTGAGGCCAGGGCGCATCCCACAGGCCCGCGGCGCCGGGGAAGCGTTGATTTGCCAGCCACAGTTCCCTCCTCAGTTGCTTTATTTGGCCTACCACCCCATTTTGTTATTTTGTTCTCTTGCTCTCATTCCTTTCTATTTCCCTAAAAGGGTTTTGTTTTGTTTCCTTCTTCCTCCCTCCCTCCCTCGCTCCCTCTCAGAGTGGGATGTCAGGTTCAAAATTCTCAGCTGAGGGGAGAAGCAGACAAGGAAGCAGCTATTTGCTGCTCAGGTTCTGCAGCCAGCCTAGAAAACAGGCATAGAGATAACATTCATGTTATCTACTGGGACTCTGGGACTCTGAGCCAAGTACCTGGACTCTAAAATGGATTCTTAGCCTTTTGGGTGAAGTGGACTCCTTTGAAACCATGATCAAAGCGAGGCCTCCTCCTAATAAAAATGCGCAACTGGTAGGCAGAACTTTGCATACAATTCCAAGGGTTCAGAGGTTCCCAAAGCCCATTCCTGAAGCCCATGAGTTGAAATTTATCCTCTTCCTGTATTCCAAGCAGCTAAGGGACTCTGGCTGCTATGAAACCCAACATTGACTTAAGTAAAATTTGTGTGTAAATTTCCTTCACCTAGCCTACTCAGCCCTGATTTAGATCCATGGGAATGAAGTGTCTTTACCCTGGGGATTCAATGTTAGGTTTTGTTTAGTATGCTCCTGTATTTCCAAGCTCCCTACTTGAGCCAACTTTGCAAAAACAGCTAAAAGTAGAAAAACTAAGTAAGTCTAAATTTCAGCTCAATTTAACTTCAGCATTATTGAGTACCAATTATATACCAGACACTAGAAATAAAGATGCATGAGAGTTAAACATACAGTCCCTGCCCTGGACAAGTCTGTATCTTCTCCCCATTTATACTCACTTACTTGAGAGTCTGTAGTCCTGTTGACTTAAAAATCTGTAGCTGCATATCCATGCAAGGTTAAAAGACTGAAAACCTCTTCTCCGGGATTGGTGGTCTTAAAAAGATTTCCTCCAGTCTCAAGGCTCCCTACTTCCAGCACTTGGTGTTCCAGTTCTAGGACTTGGTGTTCTAGAAAAATCTGTTACCAGAGTCTGCATCCTCTGTCTAAACTTTCAGAGCCAAGAGACAGGCTGAGCTACACAGCCCCTCCCACATTCAAGGAGCATGTGATAAATGAAAAAACCAGAGATGAAATATCCAGTGAACCCAGCAAACTGTGAGTTCTTTTCATTTATCCTGAGTATTCACTCTTTTTTTTTTTTTTGAAATTTAGAACAGATTTTTATTTTTATTTTTTATTTTTCCACATCTTTATTGTTGGATGTAAAATGTATTACAGATGTTCCACATTTTTCCCCCATTGACCCCCTCCTCCCCACTCTCGCCCCCCTCCCACCTTTTCCCAAACTATTGTCCGTGTCCATTGGTTATGCATATAAGTTCTTTGGTTTATTTCTTCCCAGCCCCCCAACCCCTTTCCCTTTGAGGTTTGTCAGTCTAGCAATGAATTTGTGCTTCTTAATCCCTTCACCTTTTTCATCCATTCCCCCAACCCCTTTCCCAACTGGCAACCAACAAAATGTTCTCTGTATCTATGAGAATGTTCCTGTTCTTCCTGTTCATTTTGTTTGTAGATTCCATTGTTGATAGATATGTATTCATTGCCATTTTGTTTGTTCATATATTTTATCTTTTTCTTTAAAAAGACCCTTCATAATTTCATATAATAACGGTTTGGTAGTGATGAACTCCTTTAACTTTTTCTTGTCTGGGAAAGTTTTTATATGTCCATCGATTCTAAACGACAGCTTTGCAGGATAGAGTAATTTTGGTTGTAGGTTCTTGGTTTTCATCACTCTGAATGTTTCTTGCCACTCCCTTCTGGCCTGCAAAGTTTCTTTTGAGAAATCAGCTGACAGCCTAATGGGAACTCCCTTGTAGGTAACTAGCTGCCTTTCTCTTGCTGCTTTTAGGATTCTCTCTTTGTCTTGAACCTTTTGCATTTTGATGATGATGTGTCTTGGTGTGGGCCTCTTGGGGTTCATCTTGTTTGGGACTCTCTGTGCTTCCTGGACTTGTATGTCTGTTTCCTTCACCAAGTTAGGAAAGTTTTCTGCCATTATTGTTTCAAACAGGTTTTCGATTTCTTGTTCTCTCTCTTCTCCTTCCGGCACCCCCAAGATGCGAATGTTGGCACGCTTGAAGTTGTCCCAGAGGCTCCTTACACTATCCTCATTTTTTTGGATTCTTTTTTCTTTTTGCTGTTCTGGTTGGGCGTTTTTTGCTTCCTTATATTCCAAATCGATGGTTTGCTCCTTGGATTTACGTACTCTATTATTGAAGCTATGTAAATTATTCTTTATTTCAGTTAAAGCCTCCTTCGTTTCTAACTGTGCAGCGATCATTTCTGACTGGTACTTTTTTATGCTCTTGAGGCCCTCACTGAGTTCATTGAGCATCCTTATAAGCAGTATTTTGAACTCAGCATCTGTTAGGTTGCTTATCTCCATTTCGCTTAGTTCTTTTCTTGGGGTTTTGTTCTGTTCTTTCATTTGGGACCTGTTTCTTCGTATCCTCATTTTGGCTGCCTCCCTGTGTTTGTTTCTGTGTATTACTTAATGAGAGGTATGGGGCTCGCTCGCTGAGACCCGATGCTGCTCGTTTGAAAGAATTTAGGAAAAACCTGAAGCAGGATCCAAGACAGGCCAATCCTATGGTTAAGCAAGTAGCAACAGCTTGGGTGGGCTTGAAAGTTGTGTGGGGTGGGGCGGGGCGGGGCCTCAGGGAGTCAGCAGGGCGGGGCTACCAGTGTGAGCCAGGTTGCTGGAGTCCCAGATATGGCTTCTGTCTGTCGCCCCCGGGAAGGGCTCACCAAAGGAACAAAGGCCTCTTACAGCACGTTTGTCCCCGAGAAAGCCCCCTCTCCAGCCCTCGCTCCAGTGCCAAACAGCTCAGTTCTTCCCTGTATTTCTCTGGTGCCCCTAGAGCTGCCTCCCCTCCGAGCTTAGAGGGAGAGAGTCCGACCAGTCCGTGCGCGGGCCCTTTAGGGAGCTGCCTGTGGCTCCAGCCACTTCAGCTTCCCTGAGCCTCAGTTTCTGCTGGTTTTTCCAGCCAGAAGTTATGGGGACTTCTCTTCCTGGCACTGGAAACCTGAGCGGGGCACCTGCTGTGGGACGGGGACCCCTCAGTCCTCAGGAAGGACCTTCCCAGCCGCGGGAGCCTCCTGATTTTTATCCGCCACACTTGGGTGTGGGACCAGCCCGTCGCGCCGCCGCCCCTCCTACTGGTCTGGATGTAGCTGCTTTTTTTTTTTTTTTTTTTTAATTCCGTAGTTGTAGGACTTCCATTCAGCTTGATTTCAGGCGGTTTTGGATGATGGTTGTTCTTTAGTTTTGTTGTAACTTGGATGTGGTTGTGGGAGAACGCGATACTGCGTTTCCCTACGCCGCCATCTTGGCCGGAAGTCGTCTCACTCTTTTAGCTTTAATTGAAAATACATCATTTAGGGAGAAAATAAATGTTGGTATTTTCAAGTTTTTTCAGCATAATCAGCGAAGATGAAAGTCAACTCTAGGTCAGATTCTAACTTTATTGCTTAAAAATGGAAAATAAGCCTCTTCTTCTAAGGAAAGGGAAATAAAGGCCTTTCTTTAATTGAGGATATTCCCTCTCTTTCTGTTTATACTTTTATCCCTTAGGTCATAATGCATGTATATTTCTGTTTGACACTTAAAAGCTATATTTTGTCGGATTATCTTCCACACATACCAAAATTACTAACTTCTGTAACTTCTTTTTGTATAGGTGAGAGCCCAGTTCTCAACCTCTGTAACAGCAGTTTCTACTTCCTCTTTTGTATTTAATGTTCCTAATTCTAAAAGCATCATTTCTTTCAGCAAAGTCGTAACTATGACTAAACTCATTGCTTTATGCATGCCTAACAGTGCTCACATTATGACCAGCAATACTATGCAAGTAGGAGAACCACCCAAGTCTCCTGAGAAAATGTGGTCCAAAGATGAAGATTTTGAACAGAGAAGCTCTTTGGAGTGTGCTCAGAAGGCCACAGAGCTTCGGTAAGAGTGTGGCGTTCCATGCCTCAGGCCATAACAAACTGAAAAAAAGACAAGAGATTCTTACTTGCACCCCTCCTCAATCTCAGAGGAAAAGAGAATGCTTGGGATTAAATTCAATCTTAAAAGCTTGAGTCCGAAGCGGGTTAAGAAATAGATGGACCTGAAGGAGATGCTTATGTGTAATAAAAAGTTTGCTGCTTCACTTCATTGAAGAAAAATGGTTTTATCCTCATCACAGGGCTTCTCAGTCTTTACTTTGCATTGGTTCCTGGAGAACTTATTTATGAAAAAAATTTTTTTTCTTTATTGATTTTAGAGAGAGGAAGGGAAAGGGAGAGAGATAGAAACATCCACCAGAGAGAACATCGATTGGCCGCCTCCTGCACGCCCCCTATTGGGGATTGAGCCCACAACCCTGGCATGTGCCCTGACTAGGAATCAAACAAGGGACCTCTTGGTGCATGGGACAATGCTCAACCAACTGAACTACACTGGCCAGGCTGAAGAACTTTCTTAAAATAGACTTTATTTTTTATTGTAGTTTTAGGTTAAAAAAATTGAGCAGAAAGTATAGATATTTCTCATAACTCCCGCTGTATGGCCTCCACACAGCATCTCCCACTGGCAACATCCACACCAGAGTGGTACATTTGTTATAATGGATGAACTTATGTTGACATATCACTATCACCCAAAGTCCATAGTTTACCTTATGGTTCACTCTTTGTGTTGTATGTTCCATGGGACAAATGTATAACGACCTGTATTTGTTATTATAGTATCATACAGAGTAGTTTCTGTGCTCGGCCTAGTCATTCCTTCTTACCATCTTATCCCTGATGTCACAGACCTTCTTACTGTCGCTATGATTTTGTCATTGTCCAGAATGTTGTATAGTTGTAAACAGACAGCATGTAGCTTTTTCAGATTGGCTTCTATTTAAATTTCCTCCATATTTTTTCATAGCTTGATAGCTCATTTCTTTTCTTTATTGTTATTATTTTTTTCATTAAATTTATTGGGTTGACATTTGTTGATAATTCATTTCTTTTTGTTGTTGTTTTTTGGTACATGCCCCTAGTGGGAACCAAACCCAGGACTCTCTGGTCCACAGGCCGATGCTCAACCGCTGAGCCAAACTAGTCAGGGCGATCATTCATTTCTTTTTAGCACCAAAATATGTTCCATTGTCTGAATGTACCACAATTTATTTATCCATTCACTTTCTGAAGGACAGTTTGGTTGCTTCCAAATTTTGGCAATTATAAATGAAACTACTGTAAACATCTATGTGCAGTTTTTGTGTGGCCATAAGTTTTCAACCTGGAGACTTTTTAAAACCACAGATGCCTGGGCTCCAACCGGAGATTCCCTTTCAGTTATTCCGGGGTGGACTACAGGCAGTATAATTTTAAAGATCTCTTCAGATGATTCTAATCAGCAGCTAGGGCTGGAAATCACTGAGATAAAGTCCAGTGAACCCAAATCTTCCTAATACTTTTCTTTTTTGTTTTTTGTTTTTGTTTTTAATCCTTACCTGAGGATATTTTTCTATTTCTCTTCAGATAGAGTGGGAGGGAGAGAGGGGGAGAGAAAGGGAGAGAGAGAAACATTGAAGTGAAAGGGACACATCGACTGGCTGCTTCCTGCACGGGACCCTGACCAGGGCCGGGGACAAACCGCAACCGAGGTATGTGCCCTTGACTGGAATCAAACCCACGACTCTTTGGTCTGTGGGCTGACGCTCTACTGCTGAGCCAAACTGGCCAGGGCCTTTTCAAACAATAAAGAAAACATGACCTCCTAGCTTCAGAAAGTATAATTTTCCCCTGTGTCTCCCATCCACAGCCACACTTTTTTTGTTTCTCTAAGGAAACAGAGCTCAGACTTAGTAGGTCTTTGTAAGGCTTGTGGGAAACTGTGAGCTTCATCATTTAAAAAGTAGCTGTTATGTTGGCCTTGGCTGGTGTGGCACATGCCTGGGCTGCAGGTTGCTACAGGCTCAGTCCCTGGTGGAGGGCATGCAGGAGGCATGTTCTCACATCAGTGTTTCTCTCTCTCTCTCTCTCTCTCTCCCCTTCTTCTTCTCCCTCCTCCTCTCTCTAAAAATCAATTTTAAAAATAGCTGTTATGTTTTCTCAGAACACAGGATTGAAGGTTGATAGTTTCTCTACAACCTCAGCTGTTGTGAGGGTAAATGGGAGAAAGGAGATTATTACGGGATTCTGTATACATTTCCTATTTCCGGTGTGTTGTGGGGGAAATAGGCAGGCAAGAAGCAAGAGGAAGAGATTCTTATTGGTGCAGAATCAAGGGGAAAAGGTGCTTGACTTTGCCCATTCTCAGACAGAATATTTTAGCACTGTCTTCTTTCTCTAGAGCTTCCATCAGGGAGAACATAGAGCTGATTCGGCTTAAGAAGCTCTTACACGAAAGGAATATCACATTGGTAGCGACAAAAGCACAATTAACAGAAGTTCAAACGGTGAGTTGCCATCATCAGCTGTGCTTTTTGGGGAAAAAAACAATTAGTTAAGTATTATTGTCTCCATTTTATACATGGGAGACCACAATTGAGAGAAACTAAATTAGTTGTCTAAGGTCACACAACTTATAGGTGATATCTAAATCCAAGCCTTGCAACTCAGAGTCCATTCTTTTCCCACTACTTCTCATTATCTCTTTATTAGGAAGAAAGTTCAAGCCCTGACAGATAAGGTGGAATTAAATGGGGTTAATTTGTGTAAGGGTGAAGGTACCAGCCAAGAGCCACAAGCAGAATGTAATTAAGTTAGGAAGCCAAGAGCAGTCACAGGGGAAGAGAAGAAAAGCAGCTTTTACTGAGTACTCTCTATATGCTGGGCGCTGTACTTACAGGCATGATCTCATTTAAGACTAACAACGACCCTCAAGGAAAGTACATTTAACCAATGAATGAAATGAGCCTTGAAGAAGTTAATTAACTAGCTCAAGTCATGCAAATAGTAAGGGGAAGATCAGGCTTTGAATCCAGGTTTATCTGCCACAAAGGCTTATGTTCTTTTCCTATTATCATGCAATAAAAACTCATGTCTGAATGGTGGAAGTAAGGCATTGAGACTCTAAGTAGCCCTGGCCGGTTTGGCTCAGCGGTTGGAGCATCGGCCTGCGGTACAGAGACTCTAAGTAACAGATTGGCACCATTGTTTTTATTGGTATGTGCCCCTAGCAGGAACCAAACCTGGGATTCTCTGGTCCGCAGGCCGACGCTCCAACAGCGGAGCCAAACTGGCCAGGGCGGCACCATTCTTTTAATGAATAAATATTTATTGAGTACCAGGAACTGTGCAAAGCATTGGGATACAAAAATTGCAAAGATTAATAAGATACCTCCTGCCTTCAAGGAACTTACAGGAGCCAGAGAACAAGAAGTAAACAAGTATAACTATCCACATCCAGGGGGTAGGGTTCAGGATCTGAAAAGGATTCATAAGGGAGTATATTTACCCCGGCTGGTGTGGCTCAGTGGTTGAGCATCAACCCATGCACCAAGAGGTCACCGCTTTGATTCCCAGTCAGGGCACATGCCCATGTTGTGGGCCCAGTCCCCAGTAGGGGGCATGCAGGAGGCAGCCAGTTGATGTTCTCTCATTGATGTTTCTATCTCTCTCTCCCTCTCCCTTCCTTGCACTCTAAGAAATATTTAAATAAAAATAAATAAATAAAAAGGAGTATATTTATAAGTCAAATACTGGGATACTCAGAGATAGGCAGATGTTAATGAGTGTGCAGGAGTGGGGAGGGCCTTCCGGGGAGGAAAGGTGTAGGCCAAGGCACAGAGGTGAGAAATGTCAGGCACTGGGTCATGGAGGCCTTACCAGGAATTCAGACTTTATCCTCTAGATGGTAGACATCTGCAGAAAGATTTTAGTATCTTTAGGCAAGTTGATAGTACGATCACTTTATCTTTTTATAAAGTCTGAAATATTTTAAAATCCATTTTATTTATTTGTTAAATATTAAAAAAAAAAAATTTAGAGGGAGAGGAAGGGAGAGAGAGATAGAAACATCGATGTGAGAGAAACATTGATCGGCTGCCTCCTGCTCTAGGGATCAAGCCCGAAATCGGGACATGTGCCCTGACCAGGAATCAAGTCGGGACCTCTCAGTCCATGGGACAGCACTCCACTGAGCCACACCAGCGGGCTTGAAATACACTTTAATAAAGAAGTAATAGTTTTGAAAAATACCTTTGACAAACTATTTATAGTAGTTTCGTAAGTACTAATAATTACTAATTCTGGGCAACAGGGTTATAGATGACTGTTATTATAGTCTTTATACTCTTCTGAAATTTTCAACTTCTCATAAATTACTAAGCTACAAGGAAAGATTATCTGGTTGCAGCATGAAGGATAGTTGGCTAGTATGACTATTGGGGGTAAAGAAATCAGATAAGCCCTGGCCAGTTTGGCTCAGCGGTTAGAGCGTCGGCCTGCGGTCCAGAGAGACCCGGGTTCAGTTCCCGCTAAGGGCATGTACCTCGGTTGCAGTTTGTCCCCGGCCCTGGTTGGGTCGTGTGGGTGGCAGCCACTCGATGTGTCCCTTTCACGTTGATGTTTCTCTCTCTTCCTCTTCCTCTCTCTCCCTCCCACTCTATCTGAACAAAAAAAGAAAAAAATGTCCTCAGGTGAGGATAAAAAATAAATAAATAAAATAAATTAAAAAAGAAAAATAAATCAGGTAAAACACGAGTGCAATGGCCCAAAAGAAAGGAAGAGGGTCCCAACCAAGGCAGTGAGAGAGGCTTGCAGAGAAAGGACTGTATTGGGAGAAGTCAAAGAAATAGAATAATGGACTTTATCACCAAAGAGGAATGGGTGATGGAAAAGGAGAGATGAAGGGTGATGCCTGGGTCTCTAGGCTGGGTGATTAGAGGATGGTGGTACCATTCATTTAGAGTGGCAACAGTTAGCAAGGCCTGTGGTATGTCTGTTCTGATGGAGACAAAATGCATCCTTTATGAGGGCAACCTCCAAACCTATGTTTTGTAGAGAACTATGCAAATGCTTGTATTCTTTTGATTTGGTTGATTTTGGTAGCACTTAAAGGATGTGGAAATATGAGAAAAAAGATAATTCAAAAGTGTATGGGTAAACAGATGTACGGGTTCCCCGCTATCTGAAAGTAGAGCATTCCTATGAAGGCTTTTATAAGCTGAAATGGTCTAACGCAAAGAAGCAGTTACCATTAATTTATATGGAAAATCTTTTGAGAGTTCGAAAACCCAAAAAATAACCTAGCAAATTATACCAAATAACACTAACATCCCAGCTTGCATTATTATATTCCCTTATCACTTCTCGACCTTTGGCTAAGATCAAATATAGTATATTCCCTGCAAGCCAAGATAAATTGTGCTAATACAAGGCAACTATATGTTGAATCTATACACTACTCATTGTTTTGTTCTGGGATTTGTGCCCTTCAAAAAAATATTGGCACAATTATAATGATCATAATGTAACATATAATGAAGCACATAGTAACATATAACACATAGTGACTGCTCAATCAATAGTAGTTGTTGTTAGTTTGGTTATTATTGTTTTTTCTTTTTCTAAAACTGTAAAAGGACCTTCTGAAGTGTGCTAAGTAACAGATTAGAGTTTAGTTTGAAAAGAAATATTTTTCCTGTATAATCCACTAAGTGCAATGCAAATGTGAATAAACGACTCCCCTCACCTTTTTTTTTAAAGAAATGGTGTGGTCTATTATATTCACAGACTATTTGGCAAAGTAGCACAGGGAAATAGTAGCAGCAATTAGTAAACAGGTACTTGAATTGACTTGATGTATGGGAATTTTTAATATCTTTTAAAATAAATATTTAAACATTTATGTTATAAACATCAAAATAAAGATCAAGTTGATATATCAGTAGAATGATACTTTTTTTTTCTTTCTTTCAGGCATATGAAACTCTGCTCCAGAAGGTACTTAATAAAGATTCCTTGAGTCTCTGTTTCTTTTTTTTTTTTTTATCCTCGCCCGAGGACATTTTTCCATTTTTTGTTCAGATAGAGCGGGAGGGAGAGAGAGAGAGAGAAACATTGATGTGAAAGGGACACATCGAGTGGCTGCCACCTGCACAACCAACCAGGGCTGGGGACAAACTGCAACCGAGGTACGTGCCCTTAGCGGGAACCGAACCCGGGTCTCTCTGTACCGCAGGCCGACACTCCAACCACTGAGCCAAACCGGCCAGGGCGAGTCTCTGTTTTTAATCAATCAGAATAATGAAACCCAAATAAATTTGGATTCATCTTCAAGTAATGTGACACCAGAGTTTAGTCAGCTAAATCGAAGTGATTGTGAGATATAATTTCTATTAAGACAAATGATACTACTACTGTTATCAGAAGCTACTTATGCACTGTTTTCATAAAAATTGAAATAGAAGATCTGAGTTGAGAAATATTTAGAATAGTATTTTTCAACTTATTTATAGCATTGGCTCAGAAATTCCTGAGAGTATTCTTCTAGCAGGTATAAGAAGTGAAATGTAACAAAGTTGCAAATCTTCTCTGGAGTTATTAAATATTTGGCCCTATTCACCCCTGTGAGTGGTGTGCAGGTGAAGCTGGGTGGATGTTCCTGGTTAAGAATTATTAAAGCCTTGGCTCAGGGGTTAGAGCATCGGCCCGTGGACCAGAGAGACCCCAGTTTGGTTCCTGCTAAGGGCATGTACCTCATTTACAGTTAGGTTCCCGCTAAGGGCATGGTACCTCGGTTACGGTTTGTCCCCGGCCCTAGTTGGGGTCGTGTGGGTGGTGACCACTTGATGTATCTCTCTCACATTGATGTTTCTCTCTCTCTCTTCCTCCCTCTCTCCCTTCTGCTCTATCTGAAGATAAATGAAAAAAATGTCCTCAGGTGAGGATAAAAAAAAAAAGTCACTAAGGCAGCCTGGCTGGTGTGGCTCAGTGGATTGAGTGTCCTCTCATGGACTGAGAAGTCCTGGTTTGAATCCCGGTCAGAGCACATGCCCTGGTTGGGGGCTCGATCTCCCCAGTAGGGAGTGTGTAGGAGGCAGCTGATCCATGATTCTCTCTCACATCAATGTTTCCATCCCTCTCTCCCTTCCTCTCTTTCTAAAAAAAAAAATAAATAAATAAAAAAAATCAAAACATATTAAGAGTTACTAAGGCAGAGTTCCTCACCAGAGTTTTCCACTAGAAAAATGCACACTTGCTCAGCCAGTGTAGCTCAGTGGTTGAGCATCGACCCATGCACCAAGAGGTTGCTGGTTAGATTTCTGGTCAGGGCACATGCCCAGGTTGTGGGCCTGATCCCCAGTGGGGGGCATGCAGGAGGTAGCCAATCAGTGTTCTCTCTCATTGCTGTTTCTATGTCTCCACCCCCCTCTCTAATATCAATAAAGAAAGAAAATTAAAAGAAAGAAAATGCACCCTTAACTTTTAGAGTTAACATGTCATTTTGCTGGGTGCAAAGGGTGGAGTATATCATCATAAAAAAAACATTCAAATAGCTTAGAAAGTAAAAGCAGCTGTAAAAGGTGGCACTTCACTTAGAGCCAGGGTTTAATTTGAACCTCGGGCAAATTAAAGCTACAGTTATGAATAACACTTTCTCAGAGTGGACAATCCTCATTAACAGAAGAACAGTACTTCCTGAGAAATGCTGAAAAACAAGGTCAAGCTACAGTGCAAATGCAACATGCTGTTAATCAAAGCCATTCCTTGTGACATCCACTAGGGAGTGCTACACCCACTAGGGTGGCTGATATCTTGAGTCGACTCCTGGTGAGTGATAGGACCATTTCCAGAGCAACTTCCCTTTTGCCCCAGAATCAGGGAATCCTGAATGTGGCACATGATGCCCTCCTTGGCCAAGTGAATGAGCTCAGGGCAGAGCTGAAGGAGGAGAGCAAGAAGGCTGTGAGTTTGAAGAGCCAACTGGAAGATGTGTCCATTCTGCAGATGACACTGAAGGAGGTAAATAACAATCAAAGATAGCATTAATTTTAAGTTATGTTCTATTTTTTTTTGGTATGTGCCCCTAGTGGGAATCGAACCTGGAACTCTCTGGTCCGCAGGCCGATGCTCCAACTGCTGAGCCAAACCAGCCAGGGCCTAATTTTAGAGCTGCTAAAAAACAACACTATGGGTATTTCATTTTTTCAAATGAGACACATGAAGCTCCAAGTGGTTACATAATTTGCTCAAGGTTATACTATTAGGGGAAGAACTGGAACTTATACTGATGTCTGTTCTCCAAAGTCTTTGCTCTTTTATAGTGTTCTGCTGCTTCCCTAACAGTAGAAACTCAGACACCATGTTCATTTACTTCAGAGAATCTTCATTAATTCCAAGAGAAGTTTCTATTCCACCTTTAATTGGTTCAAGTATTTCTAGTTGAGTGGCTCCTCAGAGACATGGGAGATGAATGTAGAAAACCTCCCACCGAAGCCCAACCCTGTACCAGAAAAGGGAAATCTTGTGCAAGAAGATAGATTTAAAAATTTATCTCGCCCTGGTTAGTTTGGCTCAGCAGTTAGAGAGTCAGCCTGCAGACTGGAGAGTCCCGGGTTTGGTTTTATGCTAAGGGTACGTACCTCAGTTGCAGTTTGTCCCCGGTCCTGGGTGGGGTCGTGTGGATGGCAACCACTCGATGTGTCTCTCTCACATTGATGTTTCCCTCGCCACCCACCCCCCTTCCTGCTCTATCTGAAGATAAATGCAAAAATGTCCTTGGGTGAGGATAAAAAAAATAAAATAAAAATGAAAAATTTTATCTCAGTCACTCTACTATCATTCTTAGTTTCAGGAAAGAGTTGAAGATTTGGAAAAAGAACGAAAATTGCTGAATGACAATTATGACAAACTCTTAGAAAAGTGAGTACCAAGTCTGGGTCTCAGAGCATTGTTCGTTATAAAAGACAATTATAGAAAAGTGCCTTCCGAATTTTAAAAATAATACATAGCCCTGGCCGGTTTGGCTCAGCGGTTAGAACGTTGGCCTGCGGTTCGGAGAGACCCAGTTTCGGTTCCCACTAAGGGCACGTATCTCGGTTGCAATTTGTCCCCGGCCCTGGTTGGTCGTGTGAGTGGCGACCACTCAATGTGTCCCTTTCACGTCGATGTTTCTCTCTCTCTCTCTCTTCTTCTCTCTCCCTCCCACTCTATCTGAACAAAAAAATGGAAACATGTCCTCAGGTAAGGATAAAAAAATAAAAAAAAAATAAAAATAATACATAGTGTTGATAAGGATATGGGGAAACTGATCCTCCATTCTGTTAGTGAGAATATAGATTGGTACAGTCTTTCTGAAAAAAAATTTTTTTTCTTTATTGATTTTAGAGAGAAGGGAAAGGAGAGGGGGAGAGAGAGAGAAACATTGATGAGAGAGAACATTGACTGGCCACCTCCTGCATGCCCCCCACTGGGGATTTGGCCCACAATCTGGGCATGTGCCCTGACCCGGAATCAAACTGGTGACCTCTTGGTGCATGGGTTGACGCTCAACCACTGAGCCACACCAGCACAGTGGCACAGTCTTTTAAAAAGGGAATTTGACACTTATCTATCAAAATATTAAACCTTTGTATATCTTCTGTGCCAGCAAGTCCATTTTTTGGGATCAAAACTAAAGAAATCTTATTATAAAGCCCTGGCTGGTGTGGCTCAGTTGATTGGGCGTCATTCCGTTCACCAAAAAGTTGCTCATTTGATTCCTGGTCAGGGCACATGCCCGGGTTATGGACTTGATCCCCAGTGAGGGGTGTGGAGGGGGCAGCTGATCACTGATGTTTCTCTCTCTCCCTCTCTCTTCTTCTGCTCTAAAAAATCAATTAAAAAATCTTTTTTTTTTTTTTTATCCTCACCCGAGGACATTTTTCCATTTTTTGTACAGATAGAGTGGGAGGGAGAGAGAGGAAGAGAGAGAGAGAGAAACATCGACGTGAAAGGGACACATCGAGTGGCTGCCACCCGCACGACCAACCAGGGCCGGGGACAAACTGCAACCGAGGTACATGCCCTTAGCGGGAACCGAACCCGGGTCTCTCCGGACCACAGGCCAACGCTCTAACCGCTGAGCCAAACCAGCTAGAGCTCAATTAAAAAATCTTTAAAAGAAATCTTATTTATGTATTTATTTATCCTCACCAGAGGACATTTTTCCATATTTTGTTCAGATAGAGTGGGAGGGAGAGAGAGAAAGAGAGAAACATCGATGTGAAAGGGACACATCGAGTGGCTGTCTCCCGCAGGACCCAACCAGGGCCGGGGACAAACTGCAACCGAGATACGTGCCCTTAGCGGGAACCGAACCGAATCCAGGTCTCTCGGGACCGCAGGCCGATGCTCTAACCGCTGAGCCAAACCGGCCAGGGCTTTAAAAGAAATCTTATCATATATATATATATATATATCTATATATATGTGAAGATATTGTATAAGAATGTTAATTACTTCATTGTTAATAATAGTAAAAAGAGAATTGAAACTATCCAAATTTCTTTTGATAGGGATTGACGAAATAAATCATGTTGCATTCCTACAATAAAATATGATGAAGCTGCTAAAAATGAGGTAGACCTGTATGCCTATTGTTAAAAGAAAAGTCAAGTTGCAAAAGAATATATTAACTCTGATCTTAAAAGGATTGGGCCCTGGCTGGTTTGGCTCAGCGGTTAGAGCATCGGCCTGCGGTCCGGAGAGACCCGGGTTCGGTTCCCGCTAAGGGCACGTACTTCGGTTGCAGTTTGTCCCCAGCCCTGGTTGCGGGTGGCAGCCACTCGATGTGTCCCTTTCATGTCGATGTTTCTCTCTCTCTCTCTTCCTCTCTCTCCCTCCCACTCTATCTGTACAAAAAGTGGAAAAATGTCCTCGGGTGAGGATAATAAAAAAAAAAAAAAAAAAAAAAGGATTGGAGTAGGACAAAGAGGCACCTTAATTTTTATTCTACATATTTCTATAGTGTATATTTTTCACAGCACACATATATTCATGTATTAACTCTGAAATTAAAAATACCTAGAATTTAAACAAATTAAATGTGCCTTCTGACTCAGTTAAGGCAAAAGAGGATAGATTGGGAGGTTGTATGGGAGCATCATAGGAACAGCTGATGCTTTTCAACTCAGTGAAATGAAGTAGTATGGGGATTATCCCCTTTGAAGACTCCCTGTTACAAACACTACTATTGGCCTCTTCCCTTCATCATTCAGAACATTGTCTTCTTGGACCATCATCTAATGTATGGTCAAAAAGTGCCAAGAACTCTTAATATTACCCAAGCAAGTTGTTTCTAGACCACATTTATTAAAATGACAAATAGGAAGCCCTGGCTGGTTTGGCTCAGTGGTTGGAGCATCAGCCTGCGGACCAAAGAGTCTCGGGTTTGATTCCAATCAAGGGCACATACCTGGGTTGCACTTTGTTTCCTGGCCCTGGTTGGGGTCCTGTGGGAGGCAACCAATATGTGTCTCTCATATTGATGTTTCTCTCTCTCGCTCTCCCTCCCTCCCATTCTATCTGAAGATAAATGGAAAAATATCCTTGGGTGAGGATTTAAAAAAAAAAAAATACAAGTAGGAAAAAAAGACATAAGCAGAAATAATAGTTTGATTATCAGTATCACTCCACTTGTGTTAGCAATCAAGGACTGCACACATTGTTTAACATTCCAAACGGGTCTGCCCTGACAGCTGGGTATAATGGTGCTTGCAGGGAACAGTCACTGAAAAGTTAAACCACTAGTTCCTGCCTTGCAGTGTAGTAATTTATCATCTAGTTCAAAGGCAGGTCTTCTCTAAACTAGCCATTGGCGATGGTAGATAGAGGAATGGAGTGAGGAAAAGAGGAATATTTCATTCCTCCTTTCTACTCTAGCAGGCCTGAGAATGTTTTGGTATTCAGTTCCCTGACTAAAGAAAGCCATCATGCTGGAGAAGTTCCTTGGGAAGTAGATGCGACTTGGGTTGTTTGCTCAGGGGCTATTCGAGACCTAAACAGAAGTGATGCTAAAGAACTCAGTAGGACCGAAAGTTCCAAGGCAGTTGGTAAATGACCGTTGCAGATAAAGCAGGGGCAGAAAAAACATGTAAGGGAATGAATGATAAACTAGGCCCAGAAGATGCCGAAACTATGTAATAGACATTCTGTCAAACACCTTCGAGTATCCATCTGACAAGTCCCTCCCTCCTTACTTCGTGGTGGTCAGCATGCTGGACAGCAGTAATCAGCCTCCCTGGAGCAAAGAACTTGTAGGAGAAGAGCTACAGCAGAAAGTCTCTCAGTTGCAGGATCAGCTGGATGCTGAGCTGGAGGAAAAGAGAGAAGTCTTACTTCAGCTGTCCAGAGTGACAGGTAGGTCGGGTCTTGAAGAACTGTCTCAAATGAGGCATCCTTTCCATCTGCTTTGGGAGAAGGGAACTTGGGCCAGCATTTCTGCAACCCCTCACTTGGTCTTGATAACTAGGATAAGAACGCTGGCAGTCAGATCAGGTCTACAACCCAGAAAGCAACGACACCTTCCTCACACGGATACTTTTATTTACATAATGACTTTCCACTTGAGAGAATTCCAGTTCTTAATTTATTATGGTTTTAAACATCCACTTTATTTATTGAAAATATTGAAAATTAATTTCTCTGCCTTTTATAAAAAAGAGCCCCCCCCCCCCCATTTTAAGCATTTGATACCTGAAATTGAGAAGCAAATTACTGCTCCTGGTACCACTACCATTTCCCCCAACCCCACCTCTTGGCTCGCAGTCGATAGCTATTCCAGAGAGTTTTAAGGGCTCGCGAGTGGAGAGCAGCACGTTCTGTGTTTCTTGGCCGAAGAAGCAATTGGCAGGGAGCCTGCAGCCTGGCAGCTCATCCTTTCGGCTGACTTGTTTCAGTTGCTTAGTTTGTGTAAGCTGCTTTGGAGGCCACATGTCCAAATATTAGAGCCAAAAAATTTAAAGCTCATTAATCCCCAAGACTCATGGAAAAGAACCTTTTTTTTTTTTTTCTCCCTTTATTGATTTTAGAGAGAGAGGAAGGAAGAGGGAGAGAGCATCTATTGGCTGCCTCCTGCATGCCCCCCACTGGGGATTGGGCCCACAACCTGGGCATGTGTCCTGACCAGGATTCAAACCAGCGACCTCTTGGTGCATGGGTCGACGCTCAACCACTGAGCCACACCGGCCGGCAGAACCTCTTGATCCATACTGGACTTCTCGAGCACAGACTTGAACTTTATTGTGTTAAGCCACGGAGTTGTAGCACATGTTTGTTACTGCAGCATAGTACTTATATTAGTGCACACTGACTAATCATCAGACTGTATCCTAAGGGTGAGACAAATATAAAGTTTGGAAAAAAGACCCAAAGATTTTTAAATACTATCAAAAAAAATTTTGACTCACTTTTTTTTCTTCTTTTTTCTTTTTTTATCCTCACCGGAGGACTTTTTTTTCATTTTTTTGTTCAGATAGAGTGGGAAGGGGAGAGAGGGAGAGAGAGAGAGAGAGAGAAACATCGACGTGAAAGGGACACATCGAGTGGCTGCCACCTGCACGATCCAACCAGGGCCAGGGACAAACTGCAACCAAGGTACGTGCCCTTAGTGGGAACTGAACCCGGGTCTCTCGGGACCGCAGGCCAACGCTCTAACCTCTGAGCCAAACCGGCCAGGGCTTGACTCACTTTTTTTTTTGTTTTGCTAGCCTAGACCTTGAGTTAGTCTTATCAAACTTCTAATTCATCATATATTCACATAGGAGAGTGAGAAAAAAGAAATGCTGCATCAAGAAGAATAGCGGCAGTCATGGGAATGTAAAGCACAGCATAGGAAATATCGTCAATATTGTTGCAATAACTATGTATGGTGCCGGTTGGGTACTGGAAACATCAGGGGGAACACTTTGTAAAGTATGTGATTGTCTGACCACTGTGCTGTACACCTGAAACTAATACAAAATGATATTAGCCCGGCTGGTGTGGCTCAGTGGATTGAGCGTCATCACATGGACTGAGAGGTCCCGGTTCGATTCCTGGTCAGGGCACAAGTCCAGGTTTCAGGCTCAGTCCCCAGTTGGGGCTCTCAGGATGCAGCCGATCAATGTTTCTTTCTCACATCAATGTTTCTCTCTCTCTCTCTCTAAATGAAACAAAACAAAACAAAAAACACAAAATAATATTGAATGTAAACTGTAATTGAAAAAAGTTAAAAACAATAAAAATAATTAAAATAAAAAACAATAGAGGCAAAGAACCATACAAAGATAAAGCTGGGAGCACATGTTGAGGACCTTGTAGTAGGTATGAAGTACAAGTGAAGTTTTATAAAAAAAAACCCTTATAATAAATAATCTAATCTAACCACCTGTTTAATGCATGATAATAGAATGATCACACTAAACGCTGATCACCCTCCTTCTCTAAAACACACCCACACCCACACCCACACACATGCCCACCACCTCCCTCCAGATTGGGGTGGGCGTGGAGTGGCTGCCGCAGAGTTAGCAGCATGGAAGTCAGAATGGAGTTGGAGAGAAGTTGCTGAGATATTGGTTTGGATGTTGTGTCAAAAAAGTTTGGACTGTCCCAGTCAAGAGGCTCTGTTTTTGTGTGTTGCTCTTGTTCTCCCTTTCACTTTACAGTTCTGCAGGTATTTTTTGTTTTGTTCTTGGAGTCCAAAGGTCAACTCAGTTCACCGGATCAGTAAGCTAGAATTCCTTTGAAGAAATGAGACAATTGCTTCTCTAAGGCCAAATTTATAAAATGAATTAAACAATAGTGGGAACACTTGATTGATACTTGGTCCAGCTTTAACCATGTGTACTGATCACTACAGAGTTTCAACTTTCTGGATTACTTTTCCCCCCAGCTCAAAACATGGATCTGAAGCTTGAACTCACCAACCTGCTTCAGAAACATAAACAGGAAGGAGAGACCCTCCAAAATAAAGACACAGTTTCCCAATGTCCAGACAGGCCAGCTGAACCAGCCACTCCCCCAGCTCTATTCCACGAGACCACTCAGATAGAGGTATGTGCATCTTTAGTCAAGCAAGCCCCTTCTACAGCGGGATCTCTGGAAAATACCCCTAGAGATGGTGAAGGGATTAGAACACTAACTGAATAGTATTTTGTTCTAATTGAGGACAGTATTTGGAAAGATATGGGAAGACTGAGGACAGAGATGCCTTCATGAGCTCCACATATTGTTTCTACCCTTTACATCTCAAAAAACTTAAAATCTTTTTCAGATGAGGACTTGAAATGATCTGCTGAAGAGCAAATAGCCATTAGAGGCTGTGTGACTTCCTCACTGCTACTACTGAGCATGAGCAGCTATGAGAGCGAGCACTTGTGAATTTACACGAGTCCTCATTTACATTGTGGAGTAGATTCTGTTTTACTATTACCAACCACTGCTTTATGGAGAATAGTTATTACTGTACCTATTACATTTATATTCCCTTCTACCTATGCTTTCCCTCTACAGCTCTGTGAACCAAAAAACCCAGAAGAAAAGAAACTGTCCCAGATGTTAAGTGAGTTGCAAGTATTGCATGCCGAGACCACGCTGGAGCTAGAAAAGACCAGAGACATGCTTATTCTGCAATGCAAAATCAACCTGTGTTATCAGGTGCAAGAAAAGATGGTATAGGATGGGGACAGATAAATGGGCACATGGGAATCACTTGCAAGACTGGGAATGAAGCAAGACCTGAGTTTTCAGGGCTGATGCAAGGTGATATGCTGTCCTGTGCAAACACAGAAAGTGCTGTCCTTGAAAAACTTGAAGACTCACACATGCCCAAGGCACCTTGGCGACAGAAGCCACTGAAGGGGCCAGCTAATGAAAATGGCAGGTGTGAACCTTCTGGTTTTACATTTTGCCAGTCCTAACAGCACTAATAATAGCATCACTGGTCCTGGAGGAGTCTGTGAGGAATCCAGGTTTTTTCCAAGTGGATGAATTTGCCCTGCTAAGGACATAATGGTCTCCTTTACCCAGCAAGTACCAACTTTTACCTAGGTTCTTTAATTCTGGGTCACTGAGATAGAAACGTTCAGACATTATTTCGTTTCAGGAGGAACTGGAGGCAATGATGACAAAAGCCGATCATGAAAATAAAGATCACAGAGCAAAACTGGAGAGGCTGAACACACCCCTAGACCTCAAGAACAATCATATCAAGCAGCTTGAAGGTATTTTAAGAGGCCATGGCCTTCCACTCTCTGGCAAGTTTTAGTATTTTGTTCTCCTTATCTTGGGAGCCAATGGCTGTGCTCCCCTCTGCGTGCCTGTCTGGAAGGCCACTTCTTTTTTTTTTTTTATCCTCACCCGAGGACATTTTTTTTTTATTTTTTATTTTTGATATTTTGTTCGGATAGAGTGGGAGGGAGAGAGAGAGAGAGAGAGAAACATCAACGTGAAAGGGACACATTGAGTGGTTGCCACCCACATGACCCAACCAGGGCCGGGGACAAACTGCAACCGAGGTGCGTGCCCTTAGCAGGAACCGAACCCGGGTCTCTCCAGACTGCAGATCAACGCTCTAACTGCTGAGCCAAAGCGGCCAGGGCTGGAAGGCCTCTTCTTATGTCCTTGGCATTTGACTTATCCCTCCCGTTCTTTGTCCTGCGCCTTTGCTGTTCCAGTATGTGGCTCGCGGCTTCTTTTGCTCCATCGCGTCAGCATCTTTCTCAGATTTCTCTGGAGAGTTTCAAGAGGGCCCAGCAATTGCTGAATCTATTTTGAAAATGAGAGCAGATCACTACTGGCCCTCAGGGTGGCATAAACACTCCCTCTCTCCAGATTGTTTCCTTAACCCAGGCCTAAATAGCAATTTTTGTGAGAACTTTATCATTGTCTCTCATCATCCTTTTATGTGATTTCTCTCTAAAAGTCTCGAAATTCTTTGTTGTAGATTGAGGATGTCGGCATAACAGGGCAGCTGGCTGGACATTTAGGCAAATTTCATAATGTGGTACTTCCTATATTTAGTACAATTACTACTGACCAGGATGTGATCTCAGCCTCGCATGTCAAGAAAATTGGCTCTGTGCCCTGGCCGGTGTTGCTCAGTGGTTAGAGTGTCAGACCATTCACCGAAGGGTTGCAGGTTTTATTCCTGGTCCGGGGCACATGCGAGAGGCAACCAATTGATGTGTGTCTCTCATACTGATGTTTCTTTCTCTCTCTCTCCCCCTCCCTCCCTCCCTTCCGCTCTCTCTAAAAATCAATGGAAAAAAAAAAATATCCTCAGGTGAGGATTAACAAAAAAAGAGAGAGGGATTGAGAAAGAAAATTGTTTTTGTTATACTCAATGATGAGAGACCTGACTTACACTAAGCAAAATTCATCAAAGACTGATATTTAAGCCATGATGCTCATTTGTTATTTTTGTGATAGTGGCTGTTTTGTTGATGCCATGAGAATATTTGAAACCACTGGTCAGGGCAACCCTCTCTCTGGAAAGCAGAATCCATAAGCAGGCTACTTAGTGAGCGTGGAGTTAGAATAAAGGGAGGTGGGACAGTCTGGGGCATGATTTATCCATACCAGGGTGAGTGTGAAAAGGTCACTGCCGTGTAACAAAGGAAATACCCCCTTGGATTGAAATTATCCTGTCTTTCAGATTCAGGGTCTTTCTCCCAGGACAGTGCAGGATAAATACCCTTATCTACTTCTGAAGATTCATTTGCTTTAACTTAATAGTTCTTTCATGACTGGTAAGGTTAAAGAGTTTTTTATGTTTACCAGTTATTTGTATTATTTCTTTTGAGAATTGATATTTCTATTCTTTATTCAATTCCTCATAATATTTTATTGATTTGTTGAATTTCTTCATATGCTAAGACTGTTAACCCTGTCATGTAATGCAAACTTTTTAATTTATTTTATTGAGTCATATTAATCTTTTCAATTAAGAAACCTATGTCAATCTCTGTATTTCAGTTATTTTAGGCTGGAAGAAATTTGAATGTATCCAAAACGTTTTTATTCTACTACTTTAACTCTTTATTTTATTTTATATTTCTTTATTTTATATTTATTGATGTTAGAGAGAGAGGAAGGGAGAGGGAGAGATAGAAACATCGATGAGAAAGAACATCGATTGGCCACCTCCTGCATGCCCCCCACTGGGGATTGGGTCCACAACCTGGGCATGTCCACTGACTGGGAATCAAATTGGCAACCTCTTGGTGCATGGGTCGACGCTCAGCTACTGAGCCACACTGGCCAGGCTACTTTAACTCTTTAAATAGGACCTTCACCATCAATACACTGAAGACTCAAATACTCCCCGATAGCCAAGTTTCTGATTGGTTGAACATGGAAGGTAATGCACAGATTAGGCAGACTGTCTTACATATCTTTGCATTCCATTGCAAAGATGGAATCCATATTTTCAACCCCTTTCCAATAAGTGTCCTCCTCCCCTTTTTACTTTATTACTCTTTAACTTAAAGTGGATTCTTTTTTTTTGCCTTCTTATGATGAAATCATATTTTTTTTTTTTTTTTTTTTTATCCTCACCCGAGGATATTTTTCCATTTTTTGTACAGATAGAGTGGGAGGGAGAGAGAGGAAGAGAGAGAGAGAGAGAAACATCGATGTGAAGGGACACATCGAGTGGCTGCCACCCACACCACCAACCAGGGCCGGGGACAAACTGCAACCGAAGTACGTGCCCTTAGCGGGAACCGAACCCGGGTCTCTCCGGACCTCAGGCCGATGCTCTAACCGCTGAGCCAAACCGGCCAGGGCTGAAATCATATTTTTAACAGAATGGAGATTCTTGTGATTGATCTGGCTGGAGAAAGTGCTTCTTTCCTGGTAGGACCCAATGTAATGTAATAGACACCATGACGATGACTTGCTATTCTTTCCATGGCCAATATCCAGAACTTTTGGAAATATTCACATTTTCTGTTCCTAGCGCTTCTCTGATGGAATTACCAATTAATTCATGGGACCTTGCTGTAAGCCAAAATGTCACTTATAGAAGAAATTGTTCCTCCAGTGTTTTCCTGAGCTTAGCGTTTACTTTCCAATCACTCATTTTGAACCTTATCTCTACAGAAGACATTGGATTATTTAGCCATCAGAATTCAAAGCTCCTGGTGGTCATTCTGCTGCTTTTCCTTTTGAATCACATGGTTTCTTGAAATAATCACAACTTGGACTTCCACCATGGTTTCCGTTCTCCTTCTGTTCACCTTCCTTTATGCTAAGAGCTCCCTACCCTTTAATGCATAGGCAGTTTTTTTTCCCTCTAGAACAGCTCAAAGATGTGACTTATGGTGCCCGACAGATGTCATTATGTCTGGAAACTTTGCCAGCCCATAGAGATGAGGATAAAGTGAACATTTCTCTGCTGCATCAGAGTGAGAATCTTCTTGAGCTGCACATCCACCAGGCCTTCCTGACATCTGCTGCTCTGGCTCAGGCTGAAGACACTCAACCTACCACTTTCTGCACCTATTCCTTCTATGATTTTGAAACCCACTGTACCCCACTAGCTGTGGGGCCACAGCCACTCTATGACTTCACCTCCCAGTATGTGGTAGAGACAGACTCCCTTTTCTTGCACTACCTTCAAGGGGCTTCAGCCCAGCTTGATCTTCACCAGGCTCTAGCCAGTGAGCACCACACCCTTGCATCTGGATGGATCTGCTTTGACAGGGTGCTGGAAACTGTAGAGAGAGTCCATGGCTCTGCCACACTTACTGGTAAGTGCTGTTGGCTTCCCACAGCTCCTAGGACTGGTGCAGAATTTCCCAAAGTCTCTAGTTGCTCTTCTGGTGCTTTCTCATTTCCTCTGCCTTTATTCTTGATCCTCACCACACCATCTGTATCCTCCATGTCTTTCATACTTTCTGCTACCCAGGAGCTGGTGGAGAAGACTTCGGGGTGCTAGAATACTGGATGAGGCTGCACTTCCCCGTAAGATCCAGCCTACAGGCATGCAATAAGCGAAAGAAAGCCCAGGCCTCCCTGTCAGCCAATGTGCTTGGAGCCTGGAGGGCCCAGGAGGATGAGGTGAGAAAAAGGATGTACCCAAGCATCTAAAAGGAAGGAGCCTCAGCCAAGCAGCTCATGAGAATAGCTCATTCTCCCATTCTCACATTGAATGTGAATGAAAGAGAAAAGCTATCATACCACCACTAGTTCGGATTCTTTCCTTTGTCAAGCCTGAGTTTGACATGAAATCAGGCCCTTGGAGCTAGCTACCTCTCCCTGCTGCAACAAAATAGCTTCTCTGTTCCATTCTCTAAGGTAAGGCCTGAGTGCCTGGGTCTCCCACAGATAACCATCTGCCAGAGCCAGTTTGCAGCAGATTTCTCTGTGACCCAGTCAAAATGAGACAATTCTCTAGGTCATAGCTCTTGCTCATCAAGGGTGCTGGGCTTCACTGACAACAACTCTCTCAGGTTGCCCTTTCCCTCCATCCAAGACCAACATCTCTCCAGTCCAGATCAGAGACTTGGAAGCATCAGAATGAGCTGCGGGTGGAAATCATCAGATGCTGTGGCCTCCGGAGTCGATGGCTGGGAGCCCAACCCAGTCCGTACACCATGTACCGCTTTTTCACCTTTCCTGACCACGACACTGCCATCATTCCAGCCAGTAATGATCCTTGCTTTGGAGACCAGGCTCTGTTTCCAGTGCTCGTGACTTCTGACCTGGATCACTATCTGAGACGGGAGACCCTGTCTATATACGTTTTTGATGATGAAGACTCAGAGCCTGGCTCGTACCTTGGCAAAGCCCAAGTGCCCTTGCTGCCTCTTGCACAAAACAAATCCATTAAAGGTGGGAGTTCAAGGTTACTGCATCTTATGGTCTCTGCCCAATGTTGTCTCCCTGTCCTAATTCCACTTTTCTTTGATGACTTGCTTGGAACAGTTTCTCTTAAAACTTGCTGAAAGGATTTTAGAATATTATCAAGAGCAACAGAGCAGACTTAGAGCCTCATTGATCACATGGAAACATTGACTTCGGCTTCTTATCAGCAACTAAAGCAAGATTCCCAAGTGGGTAGACCCACCAACCTGAAGTCCATACTTCTATCTCTGAACAAACATTTTCCAATTCTGTAGTGCTTCCCAGATTTTGTCTTTACTTAAGGCCTATTGATTTTTAACACGTGACTAGATATCAGATTATAAACTTTAGCACGCCCCATAATTCTCTTGCTTCCTTTAAACATTAGACACAAGTTAGCAAGATTTCCATGCCATACCACAACTAAGGGAAATTTCTTGAAAATCCCCTCCCCCCAATATAGAGCTTAATTTCTTACCACCTTACTTTACTTTCATACCCAGGGTTGTGGGATGCACCTAGGAAGGGTCAGCTCTCTGGAAGGGTGCAGGGGTATCCATGCTCTCATTAGGAAGTGTGGATGGATACAGCCAGTATACCAACCATGTTTAACAAGCATCTGGATGTTCCAGGAAGTGTGTGAGGCCTTTCTCCTCCTAATACAACAAGTGCTTTAAAAAAAAAAAAGGCTGACACTTCTGTTCACAACTTGTCCTTTGCCAAAGAGGAGAGACAATGTGAGTCATCTGTTAAATTAATCAGCGTTACAAATCTTAAGTCTGGCATTTGGAAAAAGCTGTTTTGCTTAAGTTTTCTTGGCTTTTGTTATTTTAGAAATAGGGACCACTTGAGTATAGATAATGATTTTTTGATATATCTAAGGCATAGCAAGCATTTGGTAATAGTAATAATAATACCATCTTGTTTATTGACTGGGTGACTGATGACAAGCAAGCTATACCTCTCCATATACCCTTTGACTATTGCTTCCTAAAACCTGGAGATACCCACCTTCCCCTCCAAATATTTTAAGGAAATATTAGAAGTAAATATTCTATGAGAATATAAATTTTCAAGGCCTTTCTATGTTACTTCTGAGTGTATTATCATCATGATTGTTTGATGAATGTTAATTGATTACAAACAAAATATGGTGAAATTTTAAAATGGGGGTCCCTGGCCAGTGTGACACAGTGTTTAGAGAGTTGGCCCATGCACCAAAGGGTTTTGGGTGCAATTTCAGGTCAGGGGCATGTACCTGAGTTGCAGGTTTATTTATTATTATTATTTTTTAAAAATTGATTTTAGAAAAAGAGAAGGGAAGAGGGAAAAAGAGATAGAAACATCAATGAGAGAGAACATCGACTGGCTGCCTCCTTCATGCCCCCCACAGGGGATCAGGCCCACACCTGGGCATGTGCCCTGACGGGAATCAAACCGATGACCTCTTGGTGCATGGCTCAATGCTCAACCACTGAGCCACAGCGGCCAGGGATGTGTTGCAGATTTAATGCCCAGCCCAACTGGGCATGGACAGAAGGCAACCAATCGATGTATCTCTCTCACATCAATGTTTTTTTTTTCTCTCTCTCTCCCTCTCTTCTTCCCTCCCTCTCCCCATTCCACTCTCTAAAAACCCATGGAAAAATATTCTTGGGTGAGGATTAACACAAAAAAAGGGGGTGTGGGGAGAATAAACAAGGTGATAATAAGTGCTCACTTACCTATCTCATTTGATCAGATCTTATTACTGTCTGTGTGTCTCTCAGGTGATTTTAACCTCACTGACCCCGTGGGGAAACCCAATGGATCTGTTCAGGTACAAATGGATTGGAAGTCTTGCTATCTACCTCCAGAGAGCTTCCTGGAACCAGAAGCTCAGACTAAGGAAAATGATGCCGACAGTTTAGAGACCTCATCTGATGAGGAAAAGGCTTCCTTTCCTTCCCAGGTAGCAGACCTCCACCAATCCTGTGGAGCATATTTGAAGAAAACAGTATGAAAATTGAAGGAAAAAAAAAATGTTTCTTCTGTAAATGTCATGTGTTTTGCAGACTTAGTAAGCATCCCTCGTAATGCCATGAGGCTTTTCATGGAGCCAAACTCTGGGTTTTTATTGTGGGGAGAAGAGAGAGATGGCATCTCTCAGCTCTGTGGCAGGAGAGAAATGAAATCTAATGCTAGCCTCCAGATTCCTTTCTTGAGGATGAAGGCTGTTAAACTACCACCTTGTAAGGCTGTCTCTGGTGCTTTCATTCCGAACCAGGTGGTGTCTGCTGAGATTCCCATTGAAGCTGATCAGTATCCAGCTAAGAGAAAACCTCCTCAGGTGGGAGAAAGGAAGGAAAGGGAACACCAGGTTGCGAGCTACTCAAGAAGAAAACATGGCAAAACAACAGGCATCCAGAGAAAGAACAGAATGGAGTATCTTAGTCGTAACATCTTAAGTGGAAATACGCTACAAGTAAGGATTTAGGAACCCCGGAGAACTAAAATGTGGGTTGTAGTATCCCCAGACAGATTATTCTCAGAGGAAGAAACAGACACACAAGATAAAAATAATCGTGGCTTTTTGTGGCTACTATGTGCTTTCACAAACACAAGTAGTTTAATAAATGGCTGGACTACTCATTTCAATGTAATTTAATTCAACAGATTATGTCATCTGCAATTTGTACTTAAAATTTCAGTACCACAGTTTTAACCAGTCCACTTCATCTGTAATCAAAATAAATTAAAATGAACCTGGAAAACAGGCTTTTATAAATTTTTTTTTTTGGTACATGCCCCTAGCGGGAACTGAACCTGGGACTCTCTATTTCGCCGGCCGACGCTCCAACCGCTGAGCCAAACCAGCCAGGATGTAATCAAAATAAATTAAAGAACAAGCATTGCCCTGACCAGTGTGGCTCATTTGGTTGGGTGTCGTCCCATGCACTGAAAGATTGTTGGTTCAATTCCCCGTCAGGGCACATGCCTGGGTTGTGGGCTTGATCCCCAGTAGGGGGCGTGCAGGACTGATTGATGTCACTCTCACATAGATGTTTCTCTAGCTCCTTATCCCTTCCTCTCTCTCTCTAAAAATCAGTTTTTTTAATCTAAAAAATAATCAATTTTTAAAAATCTAAAAAAACAAAACAAAAACGAACAAGTATTTATTGAACACCTAAAATGTGATTGAGCCCCGCTGGTGTGGCTCAGTGGACTGAATGTTGTCCCTTGTTTCTCACATCAATGTTTCTATCTCTCTCTGCCTTCCTCTCTCTCTAAAAAAATTAAATTAAAATATATTTAAAAATAAATAAATAAAATGTGATTAATACTGCTGTTTCTTCATAGGAAACTGGATTAAAGTTACTATGTAGCACCTAAATATATGTATATATGAGATTATAAATGTGTATTCTATGATTTTATAATTATAAATTATGTTATAATAATTTATATTATATTAATGTGTCATTTTATGTGATTATTAATTTTATTAAATAATTATAATTATACAATATCATAATATGTAATTTTATTTGTTGTGTTTATTCTGTAGCAGGTGAACTACACTGAATGGAAGTTCTCAGGGCTTAAGCTCTCCATAGATGATGATTTAAAAGACCGGCAAAAGGAAGAGGAAATGATATCATTTTCAGCACTGATACAAAATGAAGCCCTCCATCTTGTAAATGGTATTGTCTTTTTAAAATCTGATTTTCCTATTTAATCATTGAATTGTTTTATCAAGACAGATACTTCCTTTCTTCATCTTCATTGCTAAACTTTTCATGGAAAATTAGTACTGAAGACCCTAGGCTCAGTTTTATGTTACAGTGTGCTGGTTAGGCCAATTAAGGCTGGAATTCTCAAAGAAAGCAGCTTTCTATGTATTTAAAGCTGACGAGCCCTGACTTGTTTGGCTCAGCGGTTAGAGCATTGGCCTGCGGTCTGGAGAGACCTGGGTTTGGTTCCCGCTAAGGGCATGTACCTCTGTTGCAGTTTGTCCCTGGCCCTGGTTGGGTCGTGTGGGTGGCAACCACTCGATGTGTCCCTTTCACATCGATGTTTCTCTCTTTCTCTCCCTCCCACTCTATCTGAAAAAAAAAAAAAAAAATATATATATATATATATATATATATATATATATAAAAGCTTACGATAGCCAGTTCAGTTACATAGCAATTATAAGATGTTAATTCACCCCAAGATCTTGTGAATTATGGTTGCCAAGAAATAGGAGGAGGAGTGTGATTGGCTTATTTGTGATGTCAATCCAGATTTCTTTTGAATTAAAGCAAGGCTTTTGTGTTACAATGAGAAGTACAGTAGACATAATTTCAGGTTATCGTTATGGCAAACTAGGTCATACAGATTACCTCTCCCACTGATGACAACTCAAAAGCTAAAGTTAATATATTTTTAAAAATCTTAATGTTTCTTAAAAGCATCGAGGAGCCAATAAGAGAGGGAAGAATGACCACACCTAAATGAGGGAATGATTAGAACTCAGAGGGTGTGCTGGAACTGCTTCAGCCCTGGGGCGTTGCTAGCGTGGAGGAAGTGAGGGAGGGAAAGACCATGCTGTTGGTGGACTTTGGGGGATGGGAAACGAGGTGTAGTCTGACTCTGGTGTCTGCCCAGGGCAGGATTTCCTACTCTGTTCTGGGACCTCAGAAGGCAGCACCGTGCTGAGTCTCTTCTGCTCTGAGAGGTGGAACTGTGCTTCCGGCATGTGCAGGGCCGAAGGGACAAGGGCAGACTCGATGGCCCCCGGATCCTGGACTTATCAGACACAGCCTGCATGACACCTGTGTTTACTAGCTTCACGAAAATAAAAGTGAACTTCGGCCCTGGCCCATTTGGCTCAGCAGTTAGAGCGTCGACCTGTAGTCCAGAGAGACCCGGGTTCAGTTCCCGCTACGGGAGCGTACCTCGGTTGCAGTTTGTCTCCGCCCTTGTAGGGTCGTGTGGGTGGCAGCCACTTGATGTGTCCCTTTCACGTTGATGTTTCTCTCTCTCTCTCCCTCCCACTCTATCTGAACAAAAAACAAAAAAAAATGTCCTCAGGGGAGGATAAAAAAACCCAAAACAAAAAAATAACTGAACTTCAAAATTTCAGCAAGGACATGGAACTATGGAAATTGGTATTGTAAGTTGTTAAAACATTTTGTTTTAAAAATCATTTAAAATTTACATAAGAGCTGCATGAATAGGACAAAAAAATCACAAACTCTTCATGCAAGTCCATCAGCTTCTAACATTTTTACTGTTTGCTTTATCGTTTTTTCTAAAGCATTTGAGAATAATTTGCAAACATCATGCCCCTTTGCTACTATATATTTCAGTCAGAAAAAAAAATTATATAACCATAGTATAAGATCAAGTTTGCAAATTTAACACTGACACCCAATGTCCAGTCCATTTTCAGAATTTGTCAAATGTCCCAATAAGGCCCATTGTAGTAAGCTTATCCCCTTATCCAATCTAGAATCATACATTGCATTTAGTCATATCTCTTTAGTTTCCTTTAATCTAAACTAGTTCCTCATTTTTTCTTTGTCTTTCATGATACTGACATTTTAAAAAAAATATTTTTTCTTTATTGATTTTAGAGGGAGAGAGAGAGAAACATCAATGAGAGAGAACATCGATTGGCCGCCTCCTGCATGCTCCCCACTGGGGATTGGCCCACAACTTGGGCATGTGCCCTGACCGGGAATTGAACCAATGGCCTCTTGGTGCAAGGCTCGACGCTCACGCAATGAGCTACACCGGCCAGACGTGACGATACAGACATTTTTGAAGAGTGTAGGTGAGCTGTTCTGTAAAGTGCTTCTCCTCAATTTGGATTTGTCTAATGTTTCTTCATAATTAGACTCAGGTCATGGATTTTGTACAGGAATACCACAGAAGAAATACTGTGTTCTTACTGTGTCACATTAGGAGGTACTTGATGTCAGTTTGTCCCATTATTGGTGATGTTAACTTTGACCACTTGGTTAAGAAAACATCTGCCAGAATTTTCCATTGTAAAGTTACCATTTCCCTTTGTAATTATTAAGTAATCTATGAGAAGATATTTTGAGCTACATATATATCTTGTTCCTCATCAAATTTCACCTAATACTTTTGGCATCCATCTATAGGTTGTTTTTTCCTTAATCAGTTGATTGAATGTTTGCAAAATACATTGCAAATATCAAAGTTAATCAACAGAAATGATAGAACTGCTAAATATAGAAATGTATGCCCTGGCCAGTATGAACCTGGTTGGAGCCTTGTCCCATACACCAAAATGTAGTGGGTTTGATTCCCAGTCAAGGCACATACCCAGGTTTCGGGTACAATTCTCAGTCAGGGAGCAGGCAGGAGACAAGAGATTAATGTTTCTCTCTCTCTAAGATCAATAAAAATAGCCTTGGGCAGTTTGGCTCAGCGGTTAGAGTGCCAGCCTGTGGTCCAGAGAGCCTGGGTTCGGTTCCCGCTAAGGGCACGTACCTCGGTTGCAGTTTGTCCCCAGCCCTGGTTGGGTTGTGCGGGTGGCAACCACTCCATGTGTCCCTTTCATGTTGATGTTTCTCTCTCTCTCTCTCCCTCCCACTCTATCTGAACAAAAAAATGGAAAATGTCCTATGGGGAGGATTAAAAAAAGAATATATATAATAATTAATAACAAATACATGAATTTATGACAGAAATATATGGGTTAAAAGCAGATTAGGCACACCCTGGCCGGTGTGGCTCAGTCAGTTGGAGCGTCATCCTGTATAACAAAAGGGGTTGCCAGTACGATCCGAGTCAGGGCACATGCCTAGGTTGTGAGTTCAGTCCTCACTGGGACATGTAAGAGAGGTGGCCAATCAATGTTTCTCTCTCATGTGGATGTTTCTTTCTCCCTTCCTCTCTCTAAGACATGTCCTCAGGTGAAGATTTTTTAAAAAAGCAGATTTAGACACAACCGAAGTGAAAGTTGGTGAAAATATCCAGAGTAAAGCAAGGAGAGAGAACATGATGGAAAATACAAAAAAGAAGAAAAGAAACATAAAGGGTAAAATGAGGATGTTTAAGCAACCCTTAATTAAATGTAGGAGGAGAGAAAGAAGGGGACAAGTGCAATATTTAAAGTGATAAGAACTTCGAGTTCTCCAATACTAATACTAGATATTAAGACTTAATTAAATAAAACCCAAGCAGGATAAGTAAAAATTAACTAAAATCTAGACATATCAGAGTTGTTCTTTGGGCTGAAGGACAATTATCCCAGAAGAAAACAGAAAGATGCAATAAAAAACAAAAAACAAAGAATATGGGTTAATTTAAATGACCATATAAAGCAAAACTATTAGCTTGTAGGGATTAAAATATATTCATAATATATTTTATTATGGCTGGTTTGGCTCAGCAGTTGGAGTGTTGGCCCATGGACTGAAGAGTCTTGGGTTCAATTGCCAGTCAAGGGCACGTACCTCTGTTGCAGGTTTGATCCCCTGCCCCAGTCAGGGTCATGTAGGAGGTAAACAATGGATGTGTCTCTTTCACATCTCTCTCTCTCTCTCTCTCTCTCTCTCTCTCTCTCTCTCTCTCCCTCCTTTTCTCCCTTCGTCCCACCTACTCTATCTAAAAAAATCAATGGAAAAATATCCTCAGGTGAGGATTAAAAAAAATAAAATAAAATATATTTTTAATTTTCCCATTCGGTGTGGCTCAGTGGATTGAGCATCATCCTATTCCTGATCAGGGCACATGCCTGGGTTGTGGGCTCAATCCCCAGTAGGGGGCGTGCAGGAGGCAGCTCATTCATGTATCTCTCTCACATCGATGTTTCTATCTCTCTCTCCCTCTCTCTAAAAAGTCAATAAAAACATTTAAAAATATATATATATATATTTATAATTTAAATTAATAATGTAGTGGGTTCAGTGGTGACCCCCTAAAAAGATATGTTCATGTTCTAAACCACAGAACCTGCAAATGTGACCTTCTTTGGAAAAGGAGTCTTTACAGATGAAAAAAGTGTCTTTGTAGAAGTTAAAGATCTTGAGATGAGGAGATCATCCTGGATTATCCGAGTGGACTCTAAATCTAATGAAAGTGTCTTGAGAAGAGCCACGTGCAGAAGGGGAGGAGGCGATGTGACCATGGAGTCAGAGATTGGAGTGATTCCTTGACCACAAGCCAAGGAAAGCCTGGAATCACTAGAAGATGGAGAAGGCAATAGAAAAAAGGAAAGACAGATTGTCCCCTAGAGCCTTTGGAGCGAGCATGGACTTCCCAACACCTTAATTTTGAACGTCTGACCTCCAGACCTCTGAGAGAATAATTTTTTATTTCATGAATGCTTTCAGCTTTATTTCTTTTCCTATACTTGAGACATATACATTTCTTTCATACAAAGTTAAGTGATTTGTGTGTTTCACGTAAGCCAGAAGCATACCTAAGGCTAAAATAACATCTGGCCTGGCCGGTGTGGCTCAGAGGTTGCTGGTTCAATTCCTGGTCAGGGCACATGCCCAGGTTATAGGCCCGATCCCCAGTGGGGGACATGCAGGAGGCAGCCAGTCGATGTTCTCTCTCATCGATGTTTCTATCTCCTTCTCCCTTCCCCTCTCTCTAAAATCAATAAAGAAAAACATCTGACCCAGCAACTAACATCAGTGAGAGAATTAATAATACGTTCACCATCACCTCGAAG